AATCACTCATGTACTTTTCAAGTTGCGGCATTTTGAACACAAACACCGTTTTAAAGTTCTGTCCACGGATCACAAAAAAGTAAGTGCTCTTTCAGCAAAACGAAAACATTTCTCATAGGGATGCATGCGAGTTGTTTTCGTTTTGCTGAAAGAACACTTGCCTTTTTTGTTATCCGTCGACAGAACTTTAAAACGGTGTTTGTGTTCAAAATGCTGTAACTTGAAATGTACATGCGTGACTGGAATAATTCTTGTACTAAAAGAAGCTCATTAATTGGGCTTTCATATCCTAGATTTTGAAAGTGCTACAGGCAAAACTTCATTCAAAAATTGGTCCTGCCATATGGGTTGCGTTGTTTCTTTACTCACCCTGCATATCGAAAATCACAAGAAGGGTTTAAATATACATCACGAGTTGTGTGTATTTTGACAAACACTGCAAATCGGATTTGCTCACACTGATACTTCTCACTTTTCTGTTGGCACTTTTTTTTCAATGGGATTTTTAAACTGGGTTGCTTCATCGGTAACCGAGCCTCACAAACCGGTTTAACTCTATTTACGTTCAATAAACCAAGTAAATGAGATAATTGGTGTTTAAACAGCCTTCTGCTAGTTTGTGTTCGGTTAAGCATGGACCGGAGTTGCACAACATGGGATGAAATCATAAAATAGTCTTTAGAGCATTTTGTCCCAATCAACAGTTGCAAGAAATTGACTTCTGACATTTGCTTAAAATATAATGCAAAGACAAATTATTTGCATTGCAAGTTTTAAGATAGATTTCAATATCAAAGAACTATCACACATTGGTCAACTACACAAATGCCTGATGAACAGAAATTTGTGCAATTTCCATGTTCATTTCACGTGTTAAGCAAAACAAGAATTTTGGACAAAGCTGGTCGACTATAAACAGAACAGGTTGTCGTAATAAGAAAGACAACTTAACAAGTTGAGAAAATGCTGGTTTTTGGTGTGCACTGAACTGTAATTTTAAAATTAAGACCGCCCATTTGTTTTCAATGATCACATTTAAATGCCAATACGAGTGTACTCGTTTACAAGGGTCGACCGAGGGGGCTGTTCATATTAGAATTCATGGCCCGATTTCATAGTAAAAAAACTTAATATTTGTTACTAAGGGAACCATCCACTAGCAATATAAATAGCATGTGAATTTTAGCTGGTAACCGATGTTCATATGCAAATGTTGTGCCTAGCAGCCTATGCCATTGGCCATTGTGAGGCATCGACGTGGGCAACTCCATTTTTGACCGGGGGGGATTCCCAATTAAATATAGTGTCTAGCTTTTGTTGATGCACTTGGCACCCTCAAAATGGCGACCAAATAAGCACACATAAAAATTTAAGTTCTTATTTTAAGGGTCTTCCTGCAACCCCATGCCAGTTCCAGACCTAGGAAAGTATGGAGTGCCTGACAAAACAAAACAAACATGAAACCATGTTTGAATCAACCAAACTGAAACACTGGTACAGTTCTTCTTTCAAACAACTTAACTTTATGAACTTATTCATGAATTTTTTTGTGCAAATAACTTACAGAGACGAGTGCAATCTCTACTTAGATTTCTTTACAAGAGTGCTGTACAGGAATTTCCCCAAAAATGTATAATAACATACTTTCTAAACTAAAAGCTGTACGAATAAATAAGATTAATCAGTTTCTCTTACGACTTTACACGTTCTGATCTATTCGACATTGTAGCTTCCAATATGGAAAAAGTTATCTTGACCGTACTTTTATAAAACCCATACCCTGAAATTGTTTCAACAAAATCATTGAAATCGTTAATTAAATCCTGCCGTTTTGGGGGATTATTTGGGGGAAAAGAAAAAAAAACATTTGTGATCAGTAGTTTTTTTGGTTTTTTTTCAATTTCATCAAACACTTTTCCCATTAGTGTTTTTTTTTTCATCAAAACCATAAACAACATTATTATTATTTTTCGTTTGAATGCTGTTACGATGGCGAATTCACGGACAGAACAGGTGACAAGATTCCACTTTGATGAAAATGAATGATTCATGAACCGATCAACCAGGAAAATTGTCATTAACATCAAAACATGGAGAAACAATTATTGGCATCCGAAAAAAAAACAAGAAAAGCTCGACCAAAAGATGGCCACACCCTCCCCTCCCACAAAAACAAAACGCGTAACTCATCAAGAGTCAATGAACAACGAATGGGAGGTTTAAATAAGTCTTAATGGTTTGCATGGAGGATATCAACAACAAAAAAGGATACACAAAAATTCTACCCCCCCCCAAAAAAAAAAGAGGCAACCACTAAATTTTTACATATTTTACAAACCTCTGCCTAGATTTTTAATAAAACTGAACTTCTCTTTCCCAGCTTTCCATTTCAATTTTTTTTTTCTCTCCTTGAAATTTATGTAGTCGTGCATTGAGTAACAAGATTTTTTTCCTGAGATGCCTCTCCATCTCACTGAACCCACATACTGTAAAAATCAAACTCAATGACCGATCAAAACTTTACGTTTTTTTTTTAAATCACAGATCACAGAGTATGGCACATCTAGAATAATCACGATTTACATTTACAAATCGAATCAAATGTTCCGAGTTAGTTTTCCGACAAATACAAAATGCAGTAGAATCTTTTGTACACTATTTGATTAGTATCCTATTTTAATTGGTCCCAATTTTTCTTTTGAATAACGGGGGAATTTCCCCAAATAGTATAAATGCATGTACCACAGCTGCAATGAGAATCTTTGTTGGATCGTTATCCACATCTTGACTTTGTCTCCAGCTCAAGAATCAACTTGTAGCTTTTATTGTAAAAAAAACAAATGGAGGTGCGTGTACTTCCAAGTCTGACTTCAAATTTAAAGGTAGATCATAAGCTTATAGTGCATTCTTTTCCCCCGGTATAAAGCAACAACATTGCTCAAATTCGTAAGTAGGGTGCTAACTTGTCGAAGTGTTAGCTTAGTGGCTACTGTACAGATAGAGAAAACACAGGAAACATATGCACAAATTTGGGGGTAACTGGATTCCAAAAGTGCGCCCGCTGGCACACTTTAACCATATTCTTGTACTCTGGTTCCCCGACCCCACTTAAGATGACACGGATCAATTAATAGACTTTGGGGAATTGTAAGGTCAAAGAATTAGTCTAGCAGGCTTGTACCCCTTCACAGGTGTGTAATCAATTGCAACGAAAATGTGGAATAACTAAATATGAAAACTTAGGAGCACTTTTTGAAAAGAAAAAAAAACAGTTTTCTCCAACGCTGGTCGGCCGACCATCGTTGGAAAAATACAAGTATTCTTGAAAATGTCAGCACACCAGGAGCCAAGATTTTACAGGATGCTTTTGACTGTCATTCCCTAACAATCAAGTTAGATAGTTCGTGATAATTTGATCACTTAGTTTGTTTATGTTTGCAAATGTTGTATCTTCCCTTTAACTTGGTAGGTCCATTTCCTGATTTTCACCAATGTTCCTAAGTACCTTCAAGGACTTCTTGTCCCTGAAACAAAAACATAGCCTCATTTTGAGCCAAAATCCTAGAGTCAGCATGGTCAGGGTGTCACAAATCTCCTGAAACTAAAATCGGTGATCGAGCCAAGATTTCGGAAAATCTGGTGTCCATTTTATGACATAATACTTAGTAGAAAAACAGTCAGAGCACACACACCACGAATGCACGCTGATGTCCCATGTTAAAACTCACAGGTTCCCTACTGTGAATGGGTTATGTTGGCACATCGGTGGCAGGGGTGCAGCTAAAAAATTTGCATTGAAAGTCGGCCATATTGGCAAGTTCAACTGAACACTAAGGCCGCGTCCAAAGTACTTGGCTACGGCTGGAAATAACACACAGGTCTATGGGAAGTGGCTACAGCCGATTTCCATAGACACGTGTGTAATTTGAAGCCGTAGCCACAGCCGCTTTCCATAGGCATGTGTGTAATTTCAAGCCGTAGCCACAGCCCCTTTCCATAGGCATGTGTGTAATTTCAAGCCGTAGCCACAGCCCCTTTCCATAGGCATGTGTGTAATTTCAAGCCGTAGCCACAGCCGCTTTCCATAGGCATGTGTGTAATTTCAAGCCGTAGCCACAGCCGCTTTCCATAGGCATGTGTGTAATTTCAAGCCGCAGCCACAGCCGCTTTCCATAGGCACGTGTGTAATTTTTTAAGCCGTAGCCAGTAATTCGGACGCGGTCTAATAATGCAAATCTGTAGAACAGACATGAATACTTTTGTTGGTTTTAATAATATTGTCTTAGAATCAGAAACAAATGCTGAGGCCTTGGCCACGAAAGAGTGGCAACTGAGTGAAATTGCTTTTCGTTTGGAAATAAATCTCTCGGAAACTAATGTCTAATCTCCTTTAACCATTAAAGGTGGGTGAAGTGAATTTTTGGCGTTTTTGATGCAAATTTCAGAAAACAGGCATCTCTTTGAATTTAGCTGCGACATGTGCTGGAGTTGTGCGCACATATAAAGTCCACTTTTTGTGGTCCTTGCAGTCGACATCAATCAAGTGTTGAACAGTTAAGAGCTCCCGGCTTACGTAAAGCAGGATTGACTGGCTTTGACTGTTTATGTAACTTCATACAGCTATGCTTTGACTGTAGGTGATTGATGAGCCAGCTGTGCCTACCAGTTGCATGATTGTGTCTGCTGACTGAATTTGACTAGTCAGAGTGCTTGCTTGTAATATGATCTGACTGTTGGTGACTAGAAATTTGACTGTCTGTGACTGTTCAAACAGTACAAAGGGTTAATACAGATCAAAGAATTAATTCATTATTGGATTGTTCAAGTGAACTGTTGGTTGGTTCACTGGCTGACCAAAATCATCAGTCGCACAACGAAGTGACATATCTTGGATTTTTGTCGCACCACGAGGTGACATTCCATCGACGATCCATCCTTTTGTGATGTGGCAAAACTATTATATTTGTCATTTCAAGGTGCGCCCAACGAAATGATTGTTGAATAAATGGACTGAATTATCAATTGATCGATTTAGTTATCGGAGGATTCACTGGCTCATCACTTATCAATCAATTCGATCAAACTAGATTGATTTGCAGTTTGACCTTCGACAGTTTCACATTTAGTCTCGTAGGAAAGAAAGATGCCTGAAGACTGTTTGCATGTACTTGAGATTTTCACTGATTGCGGAGATTTGATTGATCCATCAATTCACGATTTTGATTGCAGGAATGGATGTGATACCCACGTAGGGGAATGATTAGTCCTGCTAAACAAACCCTCTGCAAAATAACAAAAAACTGTCAAGGATATCACCTGCTGGCAAGAAACAATTCAATCAAACCTGTTACCATCAACCAATGCCCACGTGTCACCATGCGCTGGTCATCCCCCTTGAGTGCCAAGAAACAAAAAAGTAGAGCTGTTTTGCTTGCTTTAGGATGAGACAGGCATGGCCGGGGCCGGCGGTAACGCCGGGGACTCCTGCCCCCCTTCCTGGACGCTTTCCTCCGACTCCCCCCTGCTTCCTCCTTGCTCTCGTGGGTGCCGTTCCCTTCTTTGGCAACAGTTTCTGCATCTTTATCCTCTCCGGTAGGTTCCACTCTCTCTGCAACATTGGCTTTCTCGGTCGTGTCCTTCGAAACGGCGTCGTCCTTCGGAACAGCGTTGCCCTTCGAAACGGCGTCGTCCTTTGAAACAGCGTCGTCCTTCGGAACAGCGTCGTCCTTCGAAACGGCGTCGTCCATCGGAACGGTTTCCTCTGGCTGGTTCTCCTTCTTATCGGCGCCATTGTCTTGGGCTCCGTTGCCAACCTCCTCCTTTTTATCCTCTTCTAACTCCGCTTCTTCTTTTTCTCCTTCTGCTTTATCTTTTTCTTCTTCTTCTACTTTTTGCTCCTCTTCTTCTTCTTCTTCTTCTTCTTCAAGGGGCGGTTCGTTCACCTGCACCCGGGTGGGGTTGAACATGGGCATCGCCCGGAGTTTCCGCCGCTCGGCCACAGTGTCGTTCTTGGCAATCAGGAGGGTGTGGCCTAGCCCGCAGGTCAGGGTGTGGATGTGGACGTTCTCCAGGGGCTTGACCTCTTTGGCTTGGGTGGAGGAGCGAGGCCCGTTCTCGCCGTAGCAGAGCTCGCCGAAGGTAGGGGAGGGCCCCCAGCTGATGATGCTGTCGTCTGCTATCAGAACGATGGAGTGGTTGCTGCATAAACAATGGACAGAACAAGACAACATTGGAATCACTGCAGCTCAAGTCAAGAGTACTTTCTCAAGATATTGTCCACTACGGCTGACCCATCCAAGACCACAGGGGGTAATAGGGCCGTGCATCGGAACTGGGTACCCGAGTATCCGACCGCTGATGTCAGGAACTGGTTCCAGATACAAGGATCGGGTACCTAAACCAACTTGACTAATTACTTAGTAACTTCTCAGACAATGAAAAAGACATCGGGGAATTTCCAAAGTGAAGACCAGGCTACGTGGAAAAATAAATTAAAAACATTTATGACGCTCGCGAAAGTTGCAGTTTTCACCGGAAAGCTACCAAACTCACAGTGACTGCACACAAAATGAACTGCTGCATTGACGCATCGATGTGGAAGTACTATCACGCCGACCTTTATGAACAATCTGAACAGAAACTTCCAACATTTGAAATTTTGGGTTGGGTTTCTTTAACGGGTACCCAAGTTTTTTCAATTGGGTAACTGGTTCCCATACTACCTGTAAATGCACACCCCTAGGGGATAATGCAAAATTAAACAGGTGGTTACTTAAGGTTTAGCTCGAGGTTTTACGAGGTACCGGTACCACAGAGTTTAACCTAGAGACACCGCTTGTTTAATTTTGCATTTTTGCAGAGGGAAAAGACAGTTAGGCTGAGAATTTTGATTGGTTTACTGCATTACTGGATCCCGCAGAAAAACAGAATCTACTGAACGAGCATTTTCAAAATTTCCCAAGACAACTGCATTAAGGTTTCACAATCAGTCAGTACCGACTGTTTTTTCCTGCTGTGAACTTCATGCATAAGTACCCTCTCACACTCAAAGAAAGACAGGGTTGGACTCACTGTCGCAATGTCGCCACACGCCGGCACTGTCACTACAGTACAAGTCTGTGCATTCAATTTCAATTTAAAGCTATAGTCCATCATTTAGTAAGTGGACTAAGCTCCCTGTGAAATTAATCTTTCTGGCAAGCTATCATTTTGACGTAATCAACGAAAGAAGGCCTTTCCAACGGTGCGTCTTAAGACGCACCGTAGGAAAATTTAAATTAGCAGTTCGTTTTGTTATTCGGCGCAGTGCGCGCAAGCATTGGCACGACGCACAGGCGCGCGCGGTTGCTATGATTCGTCGGATCAGTGCGCGACATCGCGTATAGCTGCTTTTCAAAACTATTCAAAACATGATTCAGCAACTTTTGATTTGAAATTGAGATCCTAGAATGCTGTTTTTCTCGGAATATACAGCTGAAGCTGAGCTGAAATTTCATCAGGTTAGTTGTTCAGTATCCTTCATTAGATTTTGAACACTTTTGTTGCTTCAAACGAACAAAATGCACAAATTACAAATGATGGACTATATCTTTAATGGCGCGTATTCCACATGATGCACGTGCTAACCTTAGCGCACACGCTCTCAAGAGTGGTCGTGAAGCACCGACTCATGTTCGTGCATGAAGTCCACACGGTCTTCAACCCTGACCACAAAGCAGATTTTCTCTGTGCAAATTTCTTTTCTTTATTTTAATTGCTATTTTCCTAAAAAAATATACAAGTTATTCACTTTTGAATGTTACATGTGACGGAAATACCCACCGATGATTAGTTAAAGAATTAATTCTTCAAGACATTCGATTTATTGACTGCCAGACAATAATTTGGCTCTTGCAAGGTGGCTTCATTTGTGTGCAAAATGAAATTCATTTCTCAGAGGGTTACGGACGCCCAAAATTGGAATAAAGGATTGTTTTTATTAAAACAAAACATACAAATTGAAAAATCGTTTGGAGAAAGTAATCCACTTTCTGACGAGCATGGATATGTATCTTAAGGCAGGGATAGGATTAAAGGTTTTAAGACAATGATAGAGAATAAGAAAAGAAATCAGTTGCTCTAAGGACAAGTTACAAGCCAAAGACTGAACTCAAGATGGTCTCACCTGCAACCGATAGTCTTGACTTTCCAGCCTGTAAGATCCTGCACGGCCTTTGGGTACATGGTGGCTTCCCCGGTAGACTTGGTCTGACCCCAGAAAAACAGCTGCTCTCCTGGTTACAAAAACAGAGCAGACAATCACTCGTTATGTGCATTTCACTCTTGCTCTACTACTACATCCTCCAAAACACTCCCATATATGGGTCATTCCACCGGGTTGGGGAACAAAGTGTGACATATGACCGTATTAAGAAAAGCATGAATGCCTTGCTAGCAGTTGCTCTACATAATATTTGTTGTTGGGTGTTTCACTACTGCAGAAAGTTTGAAATCATTTCAATGTATTTTGCCAAAAATATGAGCAAAAAATGTCGTTTTGGACGTAACATTTACACCGTGTCAGTGTTACGTCCAAATATGACATTTGTACCCGTTTTTTTAATTTCTGCGAAACATTACCCAAATTCACTTTGTGTACCTCTTACTATACACATGCAACACAAAAAGAAAAGCTTTTGTTATGGTAGTCAGGTATCAAATGGAGCAGAAATGATAGCTTGGTTGTGTGGACGTAACATTGACACGGTGTAAAACCCAAATGTCACACTTCCATTGAGTGATTTTTACACTGTTACATCCACACTTGAGGTATTGTTTCTGCTATATTTGAGCCCTGACTATACCAAAACAAAAGCTTTTCTTGGTGCTTAGGTGTCCAGTTGTAAATATGAAATGTCAGTTTGGGTAATATTTTACATACGTGTAAAAAATGGCAAAACATCCGAATTAATACATTTGTGCTCATATTTTTGTCAAAGTACTTTCAAATGATTTCAAACTTTCTCAAATATTGAAACACCCTAAGACAAATATTATGTTGAGCAATTGTTTAGAATGCATAGATACTTTTAATAATATAACCAAATATATGGATGTAACATGCACCGCTTCCCAACCCGCTGGAATGACCCACATGCCTTGACCCTTGCACTACCTCCAATTCACTTCAAATTGCCTACATGCCAACATTTTAAAGCCTGAAATACTGGTAGGGACAAGTCAACACTACTGGATGGCGGTCCAAGGATTTGCAATTTGAAAAATGCCCATAAACGTGAAATATAGCCTTGTTGTCACTTTCAAATTTCCCACGAATGGCATTCAAAATGCTTGTTTTTAGCTGCGGAATAGCAGCTCAACAGATCATCATGTCTCTCCTACATATTTTGACCGATTGCAACCAAACTTTGTCACAAGTATCAGTAGCCCATCCCCAACTTGTCACATGCCCAAAATGGGGTCAAAGGTCATCATGGGGTCACTGGGGTCAAAAAGCTGATTTTTTTTAACTCAAAACACGACTCCGCGGTGGGGGGGGGGTTAAAGCTGTACTTGTGATGGACATTTGATGGACTTGTGGTGGACATGTGATGGCATGTGATGGACATGGGATGGACATGTGATGGACATGTGATGGACATGGGATGGACATGTGATGGACATGTGATGGACTTGTGATGGACACATTATGTGATGGACATGAGATGGACATGTGATGGACTTGTGATGGACATGTGATGGACATGGGATGGACATGGGATGGACATGTGATGGACTTGTGATGGACTTGTGATGGACATGTGATGGACATGTGATGGACTTGTGATGGACTTGTGATGGACTTGTGATGGACATGGGATGGACATGTGATGGACTTGTGATGGACATGTGATGGACATGAGATGGACATGGGATGGACATGTGATGGACTTGTGATGGACATGTGATGGACATGAGATGGACATGAGATGGACATGGGATGGACATGTGATGGACTTCGACTACATCGCTACTTTAGGCTGGTCTTGTGGGGCAACTGTAGTACTCACCATGCTCTGTGATGACCATGGAGTAGCTAGACCCAGCATTGATAACCTTGGCCGCTCTGTTGTTGGAAGGATCAAATGTTTTCAGGAATCGTGGGACGGGCTCATCTCTGGGCTCGCTGTGGCCCAAGCGTCCGTAGCCACCGAAGCCCCATGTGAATACCCGGCCCTGCATATCCAGGGCAACCTGTCAGACAGTAGAAATATGGAACTCCAGTGACTTTTGGATAAAAAAATCAGGAAGATTTGATACACCTATTCATTTAAGAGGGGCACCATGAACCCCCCCCCCCCCAACTCGTGCATGAAGGGTGTAGGCTTGGACTATGTTTCAATAATACCTTGTAGTGACAATATTTTTTTGATACTGAACAATACCAAATGATGTCGTCACAATACCGAAATGGTGTGGCAAACAGTTTTTAGGGGCGTAAAGGGGTGCGTAACGAAAGCTTTTTGTCTCAAAACTCATTCACCCATCTTCAGGACGGGAAACCATGATTTGGGATGGGCATTTTGGAAAATGAACAGTAAAATAACGAGCACATTTTGGCACCAATTAACTTCTTGGCTGAAGGGAAACAATAGTGATAAAGTGTCTTGCCCAAGGACACAAAAGCACTACAACCTCTCAGGCTGGACTCGAACCCACAACCTGCAGAATTACCCACAAATCTTAATGATCAAGACCACAACGCCACAGCACGTCACCAGAACATAAATGTATTATACTGATTATATTATTCTGATATCTCAATTATCCACGATAAGTTGTACAAAAATGACTTCTGCAACCTTAAGTAGTCTTCTTTATTAAAATTCTACTGACCCTATGTTTTGTAATTTTGACTGGTATCATGTGGTAGAAAATAGATTTTCTTATGCGTTTTTCAGTTGACACTATGTGAATCAATGCGTTTACCACATTTGAGGTCCGTCGCCGTAATCGCCACCTTCATTTTCGTATTGTGTTTTGTCGTCTTCGTTGTAGCCCTCAAAATTCAAAACCCTGCCCTCTATCCACAACATTTCTGTTGGTTTTACACATCGCTTTCTAATTGGATGAGTCCAATATGAGGATTTTCAGTCTCCTATACGAATATGCAACTACTCAATCGTCGGATTTTGAACAATTTCCCAAGAACTTTCTTTTGAGGTAGTTATCGGCATTGGTTAAAAACAGATAACTGCACTGCAGGAAGATTTTCAGAGTTACATGTATTCAGAATTCTGCAACTAATACAATGGGCCTATAACAGATATGTTTCTATTATAAGATGGAATTTTTGAGTCGGGTTGATATAAATCAAATTAGGTTTTGCCCTTCACCGACGTTTAAACACCGTATACTCAGTGTGTTACCTCCTGAGTGAAAGTTGGAAAAAATCACTCGGGTGGGACTCGAACCCACGAGTGGGTCGAGTGGTAAGACATCTGCACTAGAAAGCAGGAGGTCGTGGGTTCGAGTCCCACCCGAATGATTTGTTCAAACTTTCACCCGGGAGGTAACACACTGAGTATATGGTGTTTAAACGTCGGTGAAGGGCAAAACCTAATTTGAGATATGTTTCTTCTGTAACTTTTCCTGGATGTTTATGGACAAGACTCCTAAAAAAGAAGAAAGGTTCTTACTGTGTGGTTAGCCCCGCAGGCGACGTCCTTGATGACGATGCTGTCCAGAAACTTGACCCCGTCTCGGGTCTTCTCGACGTAACCGCCGATGCGTCTGGGCGTCAGCACACAATCAAAGGAGGTCTTGTTGGAGGAAACAAAGTACTGTCCGTTGCTGTTGTGACCTGAATGGGTTTAGAAAACGAGAACAGGGTCAATGCTAGGGGCTGTGGTCCAATGGTTACCGTGTTTGACTCGTGTGCAGTGGTTCACGGGTTCAAATCCTGACGGGGAACATGGTCCTTGTGCTCTTGAGCAAGGCACTTTACCATTATTGCTTCGTCCTTCGGATGGGACGTAAAGCCGTAGGTCCCGTGTGTTGTATAATGCACATAAAAGAACCCAGTAACACTTATCGCTAAGAGAAGGGGTTTGCCCCGGTGTTTCTGGCAGTGGCTGCAATATGCGCTGCAACACCTTGTATACCCTTTATAAAAAGGTGCTACAAAATGGGTCTCATATTTCTCATAAACTTCATTTACCTGTCTTTAAAAATAGACATACCGGGTAATTACCAGGGCCTTGAGTACCTAATTGTTGGTAGATACGTGCGCTATATAAGACTCCGGTATTATTATTATAATAAATGCTGGTTCATACCTTACAAAGACTTTCTGTGCGAAGCAAAGTTATCAGGGTAACAGCTAGAACTGTGCATTTTCAAAAAAGTTGCTATTTATGACCTCTCCACGAAATGAGCTTAAAGTTGGAAATTGCCATTTTGTAGTACAGGGTTGAGTAAAAAAAACGAAACCCAAATGTCGGGACCATTGTTTTAGTGAAGTTCTAAATGTAGCACTTTCAAATCTAGAATATGATAGCCCAATTCATAAGCTTTTTTTTAGTACAAGAATCATTCAAATCACTCATGTACTTTTCAAGTTACGGACTTTTAAACACAACCACCGTTTTAAAGTTCTGTCCACGGATCACAAAACAGCAAGTGTTCTTTCAGCAAATTGAAAACAAATCACATAGGGATGTGACGTTTTATGTGATCCGTAGACAGAACTTTAAAACGGTGGCTGTGTTAGAAATTCCATAACTTGAAAAGTACTTGAGTTATTTGAATGATTCTTGTACTAAAAGAAAGCGTGTGAACTGGGCTTTTATATCCTAGATTTTGAAAGTACTACATGCAGAACTTCACTAAAACAACAGTCCCAACATTTGGGTTTTGTTGTTTTTTACTCACCCTGTACAGTGGGGTAAAGCCGCAATTTGAACCTTGAACCTTGATCTGTAAGTCCATTTTTACCTTTCTCCAATGCTTTTGTTCTGTCAAACATCTTTAAAATCTATTTTCATCCTGTTTTATTAGTTGACTGTTCATTCACTGTAACACAACTGCAGGATTTCAAATGCCATTTTCTCCAGAATCAGTCTTACAACTTCAAGTAAGTTGACGGTCTGTATTTCCGTTACTGAATTCAGTACCCCTAAATGTTATATACCATTAGAAAGCTCCTGTTCTGAAGAATCCAGAAATATCAATTCAATAAAAGCCCGATTTTAAGCTCATTTTGTGATGACAGGTCAGAATTGATTATTCAAACTTGGATTCCATCAAATGTTATAATAGTCGAAACACCAAACAAGTGCGCCAGTCAAAAATTGCATGTGCCAGCAAGGAAATGCATTGTGCATGCCCTCGTTGAAATTTGTGTACACCAACTGGGAATTAAAATCGATGAGGAATTAAATGGTCCACTGATCAGGATTTGCATACACAACGTACTTCATAAATAATATGAATATCGTGCATGTATCAATATATCTTTTTAAGGTAGCTCACTAGCTGATAACTTTGAAATTCTAGAGATGAAACGGAAGAAACCACAAAATGATAATTCTATCAAATGACATGGATCACATGAGGAATGTAGACCTCTACCCTGTCTTGCCGAAGGTGACGAAAAAGATCCGGGAACGCCGTCTCAAGCTTGCAGGACATTGCATCCGTCACCTTGGGCTGGCCGCTAACCCGATCATTCCGGGGAGCCCGCATGGGGCACTGCCTCACGTGGGAGAAGAAGTCTCTCCTTCCTGGACATGCTAGGACAAGACACCAGCTTGGCCACCGATGAGGAGCTGCGCTCCTGCATGGTGGACCGGGACATCTGGACCAAGATCATTGGGCGGGCTCGAGCTGCCAAAGGGCCTCGACTTGATTGTTCAAATGGCCAAGTAATCATTGTGGGCCTATCCATAAACAAAAATACAAACTCACCGAGCTGACTGTATTCGGGACAGCCGAAGGAATGCAGGGTGCCCTTGTAGTCCAGGATCATAGTGAACTCACCCCCGCACGCCACTTTGACAATGGGACGGCCTGAGTACATCAACTATGAGTACGGAAAAACAAAGTACATCCATTAGGCGTACAGACAAGGAGATCCGCACCTGTTAAACATACATATCGCACCATACCATACAGAATTTGCTGGCTTCCTCTCATCTGTAAACTGTTCCTCCTAACGGCTTGTTCAACAAAACATCCCTCAAGTTTTCTTTAATTCGGGTGATTCACAATGCAGTGCGCCACCAAGAGTTTGCCACGGAGAGTCCATTTTTCAAGTTTACGGTGGACAAAACATGGCCCATTTGAATGAGTGTCGGTAGACAAATTGAGCTAATATGTCATAGATTGGGCATTGCGTTCTGCCGCCTCACAAAAAACACCATATTGATAACAAGAAAAGAAATGGGTAAACAGATCCTCGAATCATACACTTACGAAACCACTGACCTGAAAAACTAACAATTTCAAATGTCCCGCGCTGCGAATTTGTCGAACATCTAAAACAATGCACTGGGAAAAATGAGCTCTCCGTGGCAAACTCTTGGTGGCGCACTACATTGTGAATCGCCCGAATTGTACTGTTTTCACTGTGGAACCCTTTGCCTGAACAGTGTTTCAACCCTTTCCTACAAGTTATCTCAAAAAATGTAGACGGATTCCTTCTTTGTATAACTGCCTGTTTCTCTCCTTGTAGCCAGCCTATTGAGTGGCAGTGGGCCATAGTGCTTGGTGAATTCAAATTAACACAAAACGTTTATTCGATTCCCGACTCAAAAGTCTTGTTCATGTCTGGCCTTACCCGGTTGGGGCTGGGAACTGGCGTGTTCTGGTGACCGATCCCCAACTGTCCCAGTTTGTTGTCGCCAAATGCGTACACTGCTCCTTCCTCTGTGGAGATCCAACAAATAAATAAGTAAATTTAAAAAAAATTCAAAAAATTAAAAACAATAATTTAGTACCTTCTGACAGCTGGTATGTTGATGTATTTCAAGCACGTTATCACTGTACATCCACAGACGCCCCATTCAGTGGCGAAAACAGTGTGCCAGTTATTGTACGAAGTATTTGCCCCATGACTAGGGCTGTGCATCGAAACTGGGTACCCGAGTACCCGACCGTTAATGTTCGGAACCGGTTCCAGATTATGGAATCGAGCACCCATAACCAACTTTGCAAATTACTTAGTAACTTCTCAGTCAGTGAAAAAGAAAGGTTTCAAATGTCAGTGTGAAATTTTCAAAATGAAAACAGGATACATGGAAAACCAAAACCAATTTCACGTTTGATGATGCTTGCGAAAGTTGCAGTTTTCACCACATAGCTAAAGAGCTCACTGTATACACCCTATCTAGCCGTATTGCCACACCGATGTGGTAGTATTATCATGCGGACCTTAAAATGAACAATCTGAATAGCAACTTCCTAGATTTTAATTTTTGGCTTGGATTTCTTTAACGGGTACCGTTTTCCGTATTTTTTTCAATAGGGTACCCGATTCCTATACTACCTGTAAATGCACACCCCTACCCATGACGGATTATCTTCAATCTGGAAGCATTTAGGATGAGCATTTCGTTGTCTGACTTAAACACTCGCTCTATTAATAATTGACGCACAGTTGAGAGTGCTACCTCATTCCTTCAAGTAGAATCCTTTTGGAAAGGTCCTTCGTGCAGACATTTCATGAATCGTAGAGAATATTGAAATTAGATGGATTTTCACTGGGGAGCTCTAAAAACAACACGAGAATACAACAACTAAATGGCTGCATCTTTATGGTCCTGAAAGTTTCATAGGAAAGCACATACATATATGCACACAGTGCAGAGGAAAATATTTTCATAAACTGATAGTGCATCAGATTTTTTACACACTAGCCTCATTAACAGTTTCAAATACAAAGGCAGATACAAATAGATGTACCAAAGCTGCCCAGCTTTCTGTAGGTTTGTGCACAAATGCAATGCGCCCAGCAGGCTACATTGTGTTTTTGAGTTTTGCAGCTCTTTAAAGGTAATTATACAGGGTGAGTAAAACAAAAACGAAACCCAAATGTCGGGACCATTGTTTTGGTGAAACTGTGCATGTAGCACTTTCAAAATCTAGGATATGAAAGCCGAATTCATAAGCTTTCTTTTAGTACAAGAATCATTCAAATCACTCATGTACTTTTCAAGTTACGGAATTTTAAACACATCCACTGTTATAAAGGTCTGTCCACGGATCACAAAAAGGTAAGTGTTCTATCAGCAAAACGAAAACAAACAAATCACAAAGGAATGTGTGTGAATTATTTTGCTGAAAGAACGCACACCTTTTTGTGATCCGTGGACAGTACTTTAAAACGGTGGTTGTTTTTAAAACTCAGTAACCCAAAAAGTACGTGAGTGATTTGAATGATTCTTGTACTGAAAGAAAGGTTATGAATTGGGCTTTCATATCCCAGATTTTGAAAGTGCTACATGCAGAACTTCCCTAAAAAATAGTCCCAACATTTGGGTTTCAGGTTTTTTTACTCACCCTATACAACATTTGCTTTTGATGTCATTTTCAGGGATGGATGGATTTGGGGAGTTTATTTTATAACAAGTATTTTTGCATTTCATTTATATTGTTACACTGATTTGTTTAAAGCTTTGTGTTCATAGATGCTGGAAAAAAACGGCCAACCATCGTTGGAAATTGATACAAAAATTGCACTTTTGTTGAAAATGACAGCGCACCAGGTGCCATGATTTCACAGGATGTTTAAACTATTATTCATTTACAGTCAAGTCAGGCATTTCATAACAATTTGGTAGTTTTGTTATTTGATGTTTGCAAAGGTTGTATATACCTTTAAAGGGAATGTACAGCATTTGCTTTTGCTGCAATTTTCAGACATAAATGGATTTGAAGAAGTAGTATGTTATAGAAAATATTGGTAAACTGACTTGTTTCATGTTTTGAGCTTGTAGATGCTGGAAAAACCAAGAAAACCAAACATGTTCTGGTAGTCTGGCTCCCTGACCCCACTTAAGATGAAACGGCGCAACTTTAGACTTTGGGGAATTGTAAGGTCAGAGAATCAGTCTAGCAGGCTTGTACCCCTTCACAGGTGTGTAATTACTTGCAAAGAAAATGCGAAATAACTAAATATGAAAATTTAGAAGCAGTTTTTGAAAAAAAGCTAGTTTTCTCTAACGCTGGTCGGCTGACCAGCGTTGGAAAAATACAAGTTTTCTTGAAAATGGTAGCACATCAAGAGCCACGATTTTACAGGATGCTTTAGACTGTCATTCCTTAACATTCAGTAAGGTATTTTGTGATAATTTGGTCATTTCTTTTTTTTTATGTTTGCAAAGGTTGTATGCTACCTTTAAAGGGAATGTACATCATTGGCTTTTGCTGTAATTTTCAGAAATGAACTATTTGGGGGGTTAGTATACTAGATCAAATATTGTTACACTGACATGTTTGAAGTTTTGTGTTCGAAAATGCTGGAAAAACCAAGCCAAAAAAAATTTTTCAAGTAGTCTGGTTCCCTGACTTCACTAAAGATGAAATGGATAAAAAATACAGGAAAATTGTAAGGTAAGGGAACCAGTCTAGCTGGCCTGCACCCGTTCATGAACATGGAACCAATAGCTAGCAAAACAAAATTATTTAGACTAAAATAATGGTAAATTTGGAGCAGTAATTGAAAAAAAGTTAGGTTTTTCCAACGGTGGTCGGCCGACCAGCGTTGGAAATGTGTACAAATATACCATTTTCTTGAAAATGACTTCACACCAGGTGCCATAATTTTACAGGATGCTTAGGCATGTCATTTACCAATATCATAGTAAGGTATTTCTTAACAACTTGGTAGTTTTATTTTTCGATGTTTACAAATGTTGTATTTTCCCTTTAATAATATAGCTCAACGGTGAACACAATATACACGTACCTGTCAGACACATCGTGTGGCTGCGGCCACAGGCTGCATTGACAATGGTGAATTCCTTCAGTCCCTCAATCAGCTTGGGTGCTTCACATCGATTCAGATCCCCATGGCCAAGCTGTCCTTTGTCTCCACGGCCTTCAGGAATCAAAGACATTTTTTTTTCTTCAATTATTATGGCATGTGCATGTATGGGAAACAGCTTTAGACACTTGGGAATTGAACAAGCGATATCTGAATACTGAATTTGTTCCGAGGCATTCTAGCAAAATGAGACAGAACTGGGCACTGGTCAGAGTGGAGAAAAATACCAAAAAAGAAACAAACGGGTGAATATTTTTTAATTTTCAGACTTTGTATAATCTTTGATATACTACAAATAATTTAAAGAAATACAGCCCGTCTCAAAAAAAAATGGTACAATCAGAAAAAAAATTGGTTAAATATGAAATTTCAAAATAAGTCATTCTTACTTGGCATAATATTAAAGAACAAAGACTGGGCTTTCCAATAGTGTTTGATCTTATTTGCTTTTGTCAATTCAGAGATATAATCAATTTAGTGCGATACACCAAAATCGACTTTGTGCCACTTTTATGCATGGGCAGAGTTGTTTCGAGTACTGTGCCATGCTGTCTTGAAGCTCACAAAAGATTGCAACTTGGCAAAAGAAACAAACTTGATTTTTGTGTTCCGCAGTAAACTGGAGTTATCTCTGGATTGACAAAAGCAAATGAGATGAAACAAAAAGGATTGGAAAGCCTGGTCTTTTTTCTTTAATGTGATGCTCAAAACGACTTACTTATGTTGAGATTTAATATGAAAAAAAAAATCGTTTTCGATTGTACCATTTTTTTTTAGACAGGCTGTAGTATAAAAATCGTGGAATAAAAGAATTTTAAGAAAAAAAATATTAGCATCTTTTATTTGCATGGATAGAAAACTTGAAACTTTCAATTGAATGCCTTTTTGTCAGGATTTTACTTTTTTGATGTGTCGATAGATGCGAACTTTAAACAGTCATAAATTGTCAATGGAATGACTGAAGTGCAACAAACACTTATTGTAAGGAGAATTTTATTCTCATTTCTAAAACCGGTACCTGCAAACCCTCATTTCTCATAATCACGGGATCAGGGGTTCAAATTTCCACTGCCGGCTATACATTGTGTCCTTGGGCAAGGCACTTCACCTGCACTTGCCTCTCTTCACCCCCGGTTATAAATGGGTACCACTTTTAGCTGAGGAGTAACCTGCGATGGACTGGCATTCCATGCAGGGTGAACAGAAATAGTCTCGATGAACCATCAGCTTGGAACCGACTTTACTCACCCCAGCTCATAGCCTTGCCGGCCTCTGTGATGATGACGCTGTGGCAGGCAGTGGGACCAGAGATGACGCTCCGCACCTTGATGCCGCAAAGGACGGCCATGCGATGGGGGCCCCACAGATTGCGACCACCAATCAGCTGCTTCCCAGCTTGAAAAGAGAGAGAGAGAGCGAGAGAAAGGTCAGGGTAAGTTTATTGCAAAAAAAAATCATTGAATGCCCCTTTAAATCATGGTTTAGTACAATCTTGACAAAAACATTTCAGCGATTTTCACTGGATTCTCCAAAGTACACCACAAGGTTCGTGAAATATAATCAAGATAAGATAAGATAAGATTGAACTTTATTATCCCTCAGGAGGGAAATTAAAATGGCCTTGACAAAGAGTGGGTAATAAAAACATACAATCAATAATTAAAAAGATGTAAAAATGCAATGTAGTTACCACAAACTTATAAATCCAATAATTACAGGTAAAAAACAAACTACTACATATAATACACATATTACATTACATTAATGAGGGATCAGGGTCAGCCACACGGCAGTTCATCGTTCCAGTTGCTCATTGTACCATTTGATAGCTGCTGGAACGAATGAACTGCCGTATCGCCGTGTCCTGATCCTTCGTTGTAAACAGCGATTACTTCTGGAGTTCGTTTGGAAGTCGGCATTCAATGGGTGATGTGAGTCGGAAAGAACCGTCTTAATTTTATTGCACATAAGAGACCTGTATAATGCCTCTGGAGACTCTAAACAAGTACCAAGTGGTACAACCCACAGCGGCTGGGTAACGCATGAAGATGGCTATGCGTCCGTGCACCCGGGCCGTACCGGTACCTCGACAGTACAGAAAACGAAAAGGAATGGGCCGCGATCTAATATGCAAAAAAATATGCAAATTAGATGCATGCGCAACAGTATTTGCAAAACCGGTCTTCGAATGCAAAGCTGTCATACTTGAGTTGTATGAATACAATATATGGCCACGTAAAGCGTCAACCAACCAACCAACCAACCAACTGACCCACCGACCCATTCAATTTTTAAAGGAGACTTTTCTTCAATATTTGGCAGTGGCTTGCACAAGAGAGGGAAGTCAAGTGATTTCAAATTGAGGCTAAAGACTAGACTTCTACATGTCCATCCATGGTCCAATTGTTTGACAAGACCGACTTGTTCATTCATTGTCATTAGTCTGGTGCCCGACTATGGAGAGATGTGTAGAAATAGTGACCTAGTACCCGACATCCTAGATATTTCGAGTCAGCTGACAGTTGATTGATGCAGTACTGAAGAGTTGTTGGGCTGGTTGTTTCAGGTGCCAGTCTATTTTCTTGTTTTGCATGTTTTCAATACCTTAAGTTTTGGGACTCCTACACAGTATTGAGAGTCCCAAATTTTCGGACTAGGTATTTGTGTGATGCCTAGCCTTGGTCAAGGCATTCGTCATTATTCGTCCGTACGCGGTAAACGATATGCAGCATATCCTCGCTATGCAGTGCATTAAAAATACAGCGCAAGCAGCAACCTCATGCAGCCACTATTTTATGCAAATCATCTGGATCCAGACGATCACCTTGGTCTAATCGTCCGCGAAAGCTATAGATGTTTTTCTTTATTTTGCGCTAGATTTCCAGCGCACGACCTCATATGCAAATAAGTGTAGGTGGGGCTATTATGTGCAGTGTCCAATCACACCTTGGTAAATCTGGACGTCATCAAATCATTGCAGCTATGCGCCCCTTGCGGACGTGTCAGAAACCACATTTTTTGTGCATTGGTTCTGTGTGTAATGTGAGACATCGACACACAACGTGTGTGTACGTATTATGTACAGTACATGTCTTGCCAGTATACCACTCGCTAAATCCACGCAATGATGGACCAATAAGAAAACGTCTTTTAAGGTCAGCTTAGGCTATTAGCATAATAAGCACCACCCCCAAAACCTCACGAGGACAAATGGACCAAGGCGTTCGTCTGGATCCAAATAATTTGCATAAAATAGTAGCCACATGAGGTCGCTGTTCGTGCTGTATTTTTAATGCACTGCATAGCGAGGATACGCCGCCGATCGTTTACCGCGTATGGGCGAATAACGACGAACGCCTTGACCACAGCTATGTGATGCCGGACAACTGTGAACACAAACATACCACTTGATTTAGGAAGTCGAGAGCGGCCCACCAAATCCCAGTTAGTTCCGCCGCTGAAGAGAAGCTCTCCCAGAAATGGTGGTGCTTTCAGTTTCTGAAGAAAGCAAAGAGAAAGAGAAACCCATTGGTTTTAAAGTTAACAAAATTTTGTTTCAGTAAACTGAAATAAAAGGTTGTGCAGTAAAGTTGTTAGAGCACACATAATTAAAGATGGTGGTATACAACTTTTGAAAATATATTTTGAACAGTCTTCGCAACTAAAACTTTATGTTAACCCTAACTCCCCAGGCCTTTTTTGATAGGATGTACATGTAGCCTCAATCCTGCAAAATCCTCCAATTGGCCTCATGGGAAAAAAATAGCATATAGCCTCAATCCTGCAAATTCCTCCATTATTTCTTGAATATGCTCCGTGGAGGGGTGACCACTGCCTGAATCCTGCAGAATCCTGCGGCAGTGACTGTCAATATGTAGAAGCTTGGCCAGTGTCATCCTGGAGCAGAAACGGAGGATTTCAAGCATAATCCAGGCCTATACTTATGCATGGCTGGGTAAAAACAACACAAGGTCCGGCCCAAGACCTTGACAAAGTGCATCCTACGAAATCAGTAACGCACTTTTGCCATGCAACCTCAATCCCCCAAATTACTCCACTTTGGCCAAGAGGATTTTTAAGGATTCAAGGCGGTTAGGGTTAAAGAAAATCAGATATAGATGTGTTGAAATACATTTTGGAAAGATTTCCATATACGAAGTTCACTCAACACCCTGTGTACAAACCCTATGAGATTGGACTGAAAAATTCTAAGTGTTTTCTAAGAAAATGCTTGTATTTTCTCACTGTTCAAATTGACTTTGATGACGTGAAATTGCTATCTGGGGGCTTGTTAGTCAATACAGAGGAAAATTAGTGAACTTCGCATATGGTAATCTTGCCTATATTTTGGATATTGTGTACATGTAAACCATCAGGGAATCCTTAAATTTTCGCATTATTCTGAACAAAGAACTTTTTTCAGTCTTTTGTATTTTTTTTCGAGGTAATTTTTATACAAATTGTACGATAACTAATGAACAAAAGGACATCAGGACACAACATTCTTTTTCCAAACTTATATAGCGAGTTGGCAGAGTGATATCTACCCAAGAAACACTCATGTTGAAATTTTATCTTGGTATTCTTCAAGTAAAATTGACGATAAAAGTCATTTGGAGATGGGTAAAGACAAATTTCATTTACAACCTTTCACATGATTTTACGTATCTTCAGTCAATGGGTGCGGAAAGAATTCCATATACGTGAGCATCTAGTTTTTCCTTGCAATAACTCATCAACCATCAGACATAACATGTCCTCAAAAGTGAAATTTAGCAGGGAAAATATTGAAGCGTTCAGTTGGAAAACACTTAGAATGGTTCAGACCAGTCTCATAGGGTTTGTACACATGGTGTCAATTGGTGTACGCATATGGAATTCTTTCCATGGGTTCTACTATCTAGATTTAGTGGAGTTGGCTTAAGCAGATGGCCTTAATCCTATCATATCAACAGCCAATATTGTCATTATATTTTTTCTCAATACATGTACTAATGAGTCCTTTAAAACCCTAACTCCCCAGCATAATTTACTAGGAACCATACCCATCCAGGCAAATTCCAACACCCACATGGGAAATTGTACACACACACTGTTGGACTTGGTTTCTGGAGGTATGCCAAACCCAATGTAAAAGACCATCAGTTTAGGGGTACTGTACCCAATCTAGATTTCAACAACACCTGCTATTGGACTTTGATGGGTTGAGTTCGGTTTAAGTTAACTTAACTTGAAAACCTTAAAAGATATCTTGGACTCATTTTTCATTTTCATTTTCACCTAATGACCACCACAAAGTCAAAAAAAGTCTAGGAAAGAATGTACATGTAGTATCCAGACGCCACTTCAGTGGTTGTGCACAAAGTCTATGGAGGGTAGGCCTATAGTCAAGAACATTTTCATTTTTCAAAGTATTTCCTTACAAAATTGGAAATGTTTCTCAGTCCCAGATTCATGTCTTTTCACCATTTTTGCAATGACTGACTTTCATTGTCATTGAGAATGAGATGACATTAGATGAAAAAAGTGGCGTGCAACATTCTTTCCAAATGTTCATCTACGTACACCGATTTAGTGGTGTGAATCCGTCATTGGCACTTGTCTGCGTATAGTACATGTAGTTTAAATAATTTCGAAAGTGAGAGGTAAAATTTTTGGCAAGATGTTTCTCTTTCAAGTCAGGCGATTTTATCAGTTTCCATAAATTGATATGAACAATTTTTCAAATGCTTTTTGGCGGTGATTTTCTTAAGAAGTCAATGAACCAAAAATAATTGCAAATTGTACAGTGTAAACCAAAGGGTCCCGGATGCCCGCCAAACAGGGTGAGCTTTCAGGCTGAAATAACATTAGGCCTACTTGTAATTTAATAACATACGCATTTAACATTTACAGCAATACATGTATGTACTCATAATCAGACAATGCTGGAGCCATACCATCTGTATAAACCTATTCAATGAAACATGCATGAATGAATGATCCCACTGAATAGACTACAAATAACGCATTACTGCGGACCAACACAATTCAAACAATGGCAATATTGAAACATAATCCCCAATGTGAATGTGATTGTGACTGAATGAATAGAACCCAGGGCCCACAAAACAAGATGTGGAGTCGGGCCGTACTCGAGACATCTGCCCCAACAACAACAATGCTGGGCCCTGTTCATTCGCACCATGGCACGCACTATCCACACACGGCTCAGCTATCAAATAACCCGTATGCTTTTCACACAAGAGCACAAAGAATGACACATCTACGGACACACTCACGATTTTTTCCATCCCGGAGTCGGCCGCCCGAACTCCGGTCACCCCGCCGCCCGCACCGGCCCCTCTCGACTTCTTCTTCGGTCCAGCAGCATCTCCAGTCTCCCCGGGAAAACGCTTCTTCGCTCTCGGCATCTTAACTTTCGGGGAATCGCCAAATTGCTGTGAAATAAAACCCGTCTGCGATGCTCCGCACACAAAGAAAATTGCCGGGAAAAAGTCTACCCGAAGTGAATTTGCATATTAAAACCCCCGAAAATTCGGGTTTTGACGGGCGCCCTCTGCCGACATAATTATCAGCGATTCATCTGTTTCCAGACTCGCTAAACGATTGCCATTAATAAATATTATATTAAAGCAAAGTCAGAATGACGGAACCAGTCTAGTATAGACGTCTCACCTAGAAATAAACGCAATTTCTTTAGCAGGTCCTTGCCAGGCCTAGTATAATCATAGAGCTATATTAAATTTAATATAGCTCTATGAGTATAATTTAAAAGACGTTGTTCACCCGTACGTTTTGTGAAAGGCGTTGAATTTATTTTCTAGTATGTTATATGGCGAAGTAGGCCTACATTTAGTTGTAGGTGCTTGTTAAGAATGAAATGTAATTTGATGAAAATTAAAAGTTGGGCGGGTCGAGCACCAGTGAGTCTTTGGTGTTTTTTTTTACCGACCTAGCCTTGGCAGAAAAATACAATGGCTATGATAAGTCCAAACAAAAATAGTCGGTCTCTGGTCAGACCGAAGTCCCGGAACTCATGCGGCGACGCGGGTTTTTTTTGGGGGGGGGGAGGTGGCTTTTTTTTATTTTCAAGCTTGAATTGTACAGACAAGGTGGGTACTATTTTGCTTTTTTATGTCCTCATTATACATTGGTGTCCTCCAAAATTTGCCTTGGTGCCCTTTATCATTTGCCTTGGTGCAATTCCCCCATTCCTTGGTGCTCGATCCTTGGTACAAACATTTGAGGATGTGCGGCAATAGAGTGCGCTGTTGTAGCTAATTTGAAGGGGGGGGGGGAAGGTTGACGCGCATGATTAAAATCGACGCGCGCGCTGACCAGAGACCGAGTATTTTTTTTTATTTTTTATTGTACTCGGCCCGTACTCGGACTCTGAAAAACTCGAACTCGGATTTTTGGCCCAGGACTCGACTAAAAAGTACTCGGACTCGGCCCGGACTCGGCACTATCTGTACTCGGAAAACTTGGTACTCGAGTTTTGGTACTCGACTACAACACTGCCCCTTAGTAGGTTTACGAAATTGGTTAGATAATGGGATCGCATGTTATGATGTTAAGAGTCATTCATGTTGTTGCATGTTAGTCGATGGTTAACCAGCTTTCATTTAATAACCTTATACTTAAATGACAGTGCACTTAATAAATACAAAGGCAAGCTTGAAAAGGAAACTTTAAGCTTTTGTTTTGCAATCCAGAGATTCATGTACAATCTCTGGAACACTGAGGCAGATCGTCACTGTGCATTTTGCTGTCTTTTCTCGGGGGTCAAATACTAGGGTTCTACATGTATAATAAATTCAGTGTGATGCTTATGGTTGACATTCACCGCTTTTAAAAGAACCATTATCATTAATTTTGATTATTTAATATAAGTACACGGCAATATACTAATATTTATGGTCACATGACGAACTACATGACTTGTGTGCTGGAAATCCAATTATGCTGCCCTCGGCGCAGTAAGCCTGTGGTTTTTTTTCTCAGCTTTTTAAGGTACATTTGAAAGCTTTTGCATGGCGGAAGATTTAGAGGATGCATGATGTGCAAAAAGATTTGCTTAATCTAATCAGGAAGTGAAAACCAAAGGTCAGTGATAGCTACAAAAAACATATTTAGGTAAAAAAAAAAAATGTTGCCAATTCGCCACGAGAGCCAAGCCGTTAACCCTAAAAGGGCCGGGTTATTTTGACCATCTCTCAGCCGTGGGGGCGGATTCCGCCCCTCCCCCCTTAGATCTCGGCCATCAGGTAACGAACAAATTTGACACTCGGTACATGCATAGAGCAACTCGTCATAAACATAGCCAAAAAATATGACTATAGGTCAAAGAGTTTTGGAATTATGGCTAATTCATTATTTATATGTGCGAATGGTAATTCTTCTCAGTGTACACGACGTATGGGAAAATTCAGTTTTCATAGCGCCTCGCGCCGGAAATTTTTTGCATATAATGCTCCAATTAAAGTTAAACTCTATCTTACACAGGACGCACAAATGGGTAATGAGTGAGAGCTTGGGCCTTGAACATATTTTTCTTGTATTCTTTTCTTCTCATAACATACAATTTAAGAATTAATGTAATTCTCTCTCATTTTAGTTTGGGTTTTGTTTGGCCAATACTTTCGAAAAGTTGAATTTTCATAAGTTGTAATGGGCATGTTACAATACTAGGCTTACGGGCTGGGAGTAGCTTCATAAGGTTATTAATTGAGTGTGATTTTTTTTTGAGAGGGGGTGGGGGATGGGGGTAGCTTTTTGGCGATGGTGAAGAGGAGAAGTGAATTGTAACCCGTTCTTGCAAATGTCTCAACTATATCAAATAACTGTGGCGTGATTTTTATTATTCCTTTTTATCATCACTACACATCGCTACAGATCAATATACGCAGGTGCGGATCCGGGGGTATCCCCCCCCCCCTCCATCTCTGTCAAAAATGTGTGGCTTTATTTCATAAAAATTCATTAAAAAAACAATGCTAACCCGCCCCCCCCCCCCCACTCTGACACCCAAAACAATTATGCTGTGCCCAAACTACGGACAGAGCCTGCTGGGTTACAGGGTATGGTACGAGCCCCCCCCCCCCCCCCCGACCCCCATCCCATATCCACCACCTGTTGATTTTACAGAGCCAAGTATCCAGACATAAAAAATTCTACTTTTCAGCATCGATTTGCTGATGAAAAAAAAACTCTGCAAAAATTCCTGGATCCGCCCCTGGTACGGCAAACGGGACAGGAACGTTTAGATTCTCTCTCGAAGAACTTTTACAATAAGACTTTAATGAGAAAGAGAAATCCTTTTCAAAAAGCTTGATAAGTATTCTGAGGTACCTCAGTGCAGTATCAACGACAAAACATCTATAATTATGTACGTCCCAAAACATTTCTTTGCCGTTCGAAAATCCACTTCAAGAGAATGCAGATGTTATCTCGACAGCTGGTTTTTCGCACACGAAGGCATTTTTGGGGGTGCAAGCATTCTCGATCATCACAGCTAGGTCTAGGTATATATAAGCACACCTTTTGGTGGTATAAATTGGACTTGGATGCTTTGCTGCCCAATCTGGAAAAGATAATGTTTCGATAGCAAGTCAGCATGGGTCCTGTAAATTTGTGACTCATCATTTGTCCTCCGTCCCCAAACTTTTTTTCTGTCCCCGCATAAAAAAAGTTATTCTCAAAGTCCGCAATAGTATTTTTATTTCGCAGCTGGCCTTTGCCGATCCTAGGCCCCCGGCTCCCCCACTTTTTAGAAGCGATCGGCGCCCACGATTGGAAATAGCCGAAATCACCATGCCATATTTGGCAATTCATTGTCGTCACCAGCTTATTATTTTTCCCCACATGACTTTATTGAAATCAGCTAATGTCAATATTTGTTGTAGGTCAAAGCATCAACAAAACCATTGACCTGACAGCCATCGTTTCAGTACGCGGACTTTGTAATACATATTGTATTTGACGTGCAAGAAAATGACAACTTTCTGTCTCAAAGAAGCTCAAGCTACGCTCATACTGTGCTCTTCCCGCGCTTACGATGCGTTCAACTCGCTCTATGCGCCCCTGTCAAGCCCAATTACTCGATCTAGTCGCTGCCGCTCCGCTGTCACTGCGCCCACACTACGCTCTGCTCGCTGTTGATACCTCCCTGTAGCTCGCGTCGCGCTCTTCGACCAATATACGCTCATGTGACGTCACTTGCGCTGTATAAATACCACGACAAAACGGTCAATACACAGTCCAGTTTCAAAAATTATTATACAAGTTCATCGCAGTCAAGTTACTTTCTCAAAGAGACTACATCGACTGCCTTGCGCCTATAGGCTGCCTCAATGCCACTTCAATGATGTCGCACGATTCACGCTCGCACAGCGCCCGAGTTGCGTAATTACGGCACCCTGGCCAGAGCGCAGAGGTGTTGCGATTATTTTGAGCATGTTCAAAGACCTTTGCGCTCATCAGAGACCATTAAGACTCTCTGGTGCCCATCTGGCGACCTATGTAGTTGTCGTTGCGATCTAGTAGTTGCTGTTGCGCCCCAGCTATTTTTCAAGGACGCAGTGAGAGCGCATATGCGATCGCAGACAGTGTGACAGGGCCTTAAGGCTTATGCCCAACCCAAAGACCGTCCATTTTGAAAAAAAAGTAATCATCAGCTATATATATGGGACCTATTAGTTATGGCCGATTCATCCAAAATGCTTGGAATTAGAAGCTCATACTGAATCCCAGACTGAGATAGCAAACACTGCAGGTCAGCGCAGACAATTTAAGACCTGGGGCAAATTTCATGGAGCTGCTATAAGCACAAAAATGTGCTTAGCACAGAAAAGTCTTACTTAGTAAAATTAGGTTACCCACTCAAACTCCATGTGATTTTCAGACCAAGCAAACAACAATTGAATACCAGTCACAAGCAATATACGTCACATGAAAATTTGGTTTGTTATCATGTTTTTACCGAGGAAGATTTTTCATGCTAAGCACAAAAATTTGCTTAGCATGAAAATTCTTCCCTGGTAAAAACAGGATTTCCAACCAAATTTTCATGACATGTATATTGCTTGTGACTGGTATTTAACTTGGTTTTTTGCTTAGCACGTAAATCACATGGAGTTTTCGCTGGTAACCCGGTTTTACCATGCAGGCAAGGCTTTTTAATTTTATGCTAAGCAAATGTTTGTGTTCAGCAGCTCTTTCATAGGTTTGCTTAGCACACGCTTTTCTGCTATCAGAACCTCCGTCCATTTCATAGAGACCGTGGCCATTAACCCTCAAAGAGCCGGGTTTTGTCGGGGTCACTCACAGCCGGGGGGCGGACTCCACCCCCCTCAGATCTCAGCCAAACAGTGACGGATTTAATTGCAATTAATTATGATAATGAGGGTATAGTATTGATTAATAACTGTGCCAAATCTCATTTAAATTGATCAAAAGGTTTTGTAGTTTACTGTGCTTTATACATGCCACGCAATGTTCTGCGAATGCATGGTCTCTATGTACAAGGTCATTGGAGCAATCACCGTAATTTTTCACCGACCGTCGGAAAAAATTGCATTGCGCGAGAACGGTAGGCCCCCTATACCCCCTATTTTCATAACTTTGGTGTCAAAATGTGCCTAAGATGCTAGCGGAAAAAGTCAGAAAGGCTCAGCGCGAAAAAAAAATAAGCATCGAGACACAGGGAAAGGCTCGCTAACTTCACAGACAGAATTTACTTAAAATAGTGACGCAACACTGAATGGAAATCTCCACACATGCACAGGCGTTAGTATGACTTCCCCGTGAAATAGCGCTTCAGCTAGCAACATTTTTCTGCTTAACCCTAAAAGGGCCGGGGGCGGAATCCGCCCCCCCCCCCTCGACTTTTTCCGCGATAGCCTTTAATAAAAAAAAATTCGCGACCCAAGCTTTTATGACTTTTTAGCCTCGAGCCTTGCGCATCTTTTGACACCAACAACATAAAAATCGGACCAGGGGTTGTCGCGCAGCGAAATTTTTTCCGGCGCTACGCGCCGTGAAAACTGAATTTTCCCATATGCGTCGTGTACACAGACCAGAATTGCCATTCATACATATGAATAATTAATTAGCCATAATTCCAAAACCCTTTGACCTTTGGTCATGAAATTTCTTGGGTATGTTCATGAAGAGTTGCTCTATGCATGTACCGAGTTTCAAAAATTTTCGTTACTCGATGGCCGAGATCTTAGGGGGGCCGCCCCTGAGAGCTGGTCAAAATAACCCGGCCCTTTTAGGGTTAATAGCACAACCGTTCTGCTTACCGTTAACCAGCCCTATGAAATTGGGCCAAGAGAGGCAGTCAGGCTTCATAAGAAACAAAACACTTTCATTTTTTTGACCAATACTTAGTCTACCGCAGCCAAAGGAAGTAAGCCCCCCCCCCCCCCCCCGAGGTTTAAAAAAAAAAAATTGTCCCAGAAATTTGCGCCGGCGATGTGTATGTGGCTTTCATTTCGGAGTAGTTTACCACTGGTCTAAATAACATGACAAACGTCAAAAGAGTCCAAAGTCCCCCCCCCCCCCCCCCCCAAAAAAAAAAAAACGCTTTTCAAAAAAAAAATTGGGGCCAAGTATTTTGGGTTAACATTTTTTGGAAAAAATTGTGGAAAATATTTGAAAACAAAATTGATGAGCCGACGCCCAAAGTCAAATCCTGGGTGCACTATTGCCATGCCGCGCCCAAACACTCATTCAGGTCACCAGTATTCATTCAACACAAACATTCATTCTGGAGGGTCCCCATGATTAAAACATGGAAAAGGCTTTATTTTCATCCAGAGAAATACTAAAAAAAAAATACTCATACAACTTAACGACTATAGTCTCTCTTTTTATTGTTCCTATCGGCAGTGGGTGTCTATGACTACCAAAGTTTGTATTACAGAAGAGAGCGGCACCTACTTTCAACACCTACAAAACCTTGCGTAATATTGACTATTCAAATGAAATAACTATTAATTTTCTGGTATTTTATTCAGGATAGTGCTGACTTTCAAACTTTTCTATTTGCGAAAACGAAAACAGTCATCAACTTAAAAAAAAAGGCTTCAAAAGTTCAATAGCTGAAAATTTTAAACAAACCAAGCGTAAACATGCATGTACATAGTAACTAGATAGAGTACAGGCGTAATAACTGCCTGTGCCTCACGATTCTGTTCAAATATTATACAACTAATAAATGTTTGTGAGTGCAATGGTAAGAATAATTTCATGAGGTGACAGATGAAATGTTCCATTCCAATGTTCCGTTCCATTATTCTTTCTATTGCACGAACGTGAAACATTCATTATTTGTTTTATATAACACCTGAATAACTCCTCGTCATCTGATTGGTTGACTTTTAATAGCCAATTTATTCAAGTTAAAAATTGTTTACAAGTTAGACGAGTTCAGAGTTATCATATTCAATTTTTCTCAATTTAAAACTTTTCCATAAGTTTAGGACTCAAACAGTTCAATAAGTTCAGAACTTTTATTGCCAATTTAAACACCACAGCGCCACCATGGGCAACATGTGCAGTGACAGTGCAATGGTACTTCTAATCACAGTGCAATAGTACTTCCATTGCACTGTGCGCTGCGCGCCACGCGCACGCCGTGCATTGGTACGAATAATTCAATGACATGTGATCAACGATCCACCAATCAGATGACGGGGATTTATTCAGGTGTTGTATAAACAAGGCTATTTCTGTTTAGAAAATACAATCAGGGTGGTATCACAGTCATCAATACACAACCTCTCTGCTGACAATTTTTCTTTTACACCAATTCTAATGACATTCCGAAATCCGCCAGTGAAAAATTTAAAGCGTTTGTTTCATTATTTAACGGTGTGCAACAATTGTTTTAGATGTATTAAACCTTAATATTTTGATAAATATCGTCTTTGTTCTATTTCCCGGGACCCTCACTAAATAACTGATGACGCACACAGCGGCTAATAATAATAATAATAATAATGGTAAACGACTATGTAGAAAAACTATACCTTTAAGCAAATTTATTAGGTGTTGGGCCTGAGCCCAACACCTATTGTTTTTGTTAGAATTTACTATTATTTTTTTTTTTTTTTTTTTTTTTATTCTTCAAGACACATTTCTTCTCCGGAACTGTTTGTCAACATGAAAAGTAATATGAACTTTAATTGTCAATACATGAATGCACAATCCACTGAAGATGTGTTTTTTTGCAATTACGTCATTATGACGTCATCATGGGTCACGTGACGTCACTTCAAAAAATAATAAATTTAATCTTTGAAATTCAATATTAAATCAACCGTGAGAGACCGGAACTTGAATTTTGCGGGAATCGATATGATAATACATGCTCTTCAATTAATCTTGTCTGCATAATATCACATGACCCTTCCTTCCGGTCGAAACCGGAAGTGCCTAATAATTCAAAAGTGGAAAAAGATATGAACTTGCTTTCAACGATTCTAGCCTGTGGGTGGGTTGATCTTTCCAAAAAAATGATCGGTGACGCCATCAAGTGTTCGAGTGCCCTCTAGCGGCAGGTTAAAACAATGTCCAAAACACATTTTCAGTTGATGTCTGTGGCGAAATTTGCGGTAATCGCTTCAAAATTAATATACATAATGACCGTAATGCAGACAAAACCTGTGCGCGAAAAAAAAATGATTACGTCATCAGACCGGAAGTTACAATGAAAAGACCTCTTTTCCTTTGAAAATTGCTTAAAAATCAACCGTCAGAGATTTAATCCAGTTCTGGATAATTGCGTACAAAGGGAAAATCCCCCAAAACAGTGCGCTGCGATTGCGTAAAAGGGAACTTCCCGTCATATGATGCTCAAAAATTGGGCTGGCAAAAGCGCCCAACTGGGCGCTTTTTTAAATTAGGCGCCTTTTTCTAAAAACATGCACATTGGGGTAAAGAGGGTATAGCGAGCAATATCTTGTATCGCGCCAATGGTGTGCGACCTTTACTTTTAGAGATATGAGCTATTTAATGGGTTTTTGTAACAATTGTACTAGATAAGTTTACAGTACAGCAGCATACGCGCGTGCAGATCCTCACCTGACTCTTTTTAACTATCCTGTGTATAATTACTCCACGCGCTATTTTTCAACCCTCAACACTCAACCCTCAACATCAACATCAACATCAACAATCAACATCAACAATCAACATCAACAATCAACATCAACAATCAACAGCAACATCAACAATAAACATCAACAATCAACATTAACATCAACAATCAACATCAACAATCAACATCAACAGCAACATCAACATCAACAATCAACAATCAACATCAACAATCAACATCAACAATTAACATCAACAATCTGACCTTCAACATCAATAACCAACATCAGTAATCAACATCAACATTTACAATCAACAATTAACATCAACAATCATTAACAAAAACATCAACATCAACAATCAACATCAACAATCATCAACAATCTACATCAATAATTGTTAATCAATATCAACAATCAATTATCAACAATCAACAATCGACATCAACATGAACAACTACCATCAACTATAATCAACAATCAACATCAACAACCAACATCAACAATCAACAACCAACATCAACAATCAACAACAATAATCAACAATGCGAAAAAGCAAAACCTCTAGCCCAACACCGTGTGTTTGTCCTCAAACTCTAGTTATTATTCTTTTCATTATTTTTTATAATTATAAAGACCGAGCTTAATCGCAAAGTAGCCAATGTTTGTATCAGCTTTCTACTTGTTTGTTCGTTTGTTTGTTTGTTTGTTTTATTTCCATTCATACATGTACATACATAAGCAACAGTTCACATAATATAATATAAATAAATGTAGTTAAATAATAAGCAGAATTGGAGTATGAATGGGGGTGTCATCCAGAGAAGGACTAGCCTTCTGTAATCGGAGCACCCAAAACTGTCGTCAACAATCATCATATTGTCACATAGCATTTCAATATACAAAAAGTAATTATAGTATAGGAAAGGTGTATCAAAAGCACAATCTAAATGATAAAAAAAAGTCTACAAAAATCCGACTAAATACTGCCTCGCTGATTGAAGACATGAATAGCAATTGGGTTTCGTACACACAAAATTTGCATATTTTGACAAATAAAATTCCTTGAGATGTTTGACGAAAACAATTCTAGAAGTATTAACATAATTTCTAACATCCTGAGGTAGGGAATTAAAAATGTCAGGCAAATTATATCGATAATTAGCAGATACAACATCCACTCTACAAGAACCAGGTAAGTGAATAAGGTTTTGTTGTCTTGTAGAGTACGAATGAATTTCTTCATTTAAAGGAAAGAACGCTTGACTACTTAAATTACTTGGTATGACCAGGGGCCAATTTCATAGAGCTGCTAAGCACAAAAATTTGCTTAGCGTGAAAATTCTTCCTTGATAAAAACAGGATTACCAACCAAATTTTTTAAGTGTTGGATATTGCTTGTGACTGGTGTTCAGCTGTTGTACGCTTAGCTTAAAATTCACATGGATTTTTGGCTGGTAACCTGTTTTTCCCGAGCAAGGCATTTTTGTGCTAAGCAAATTTTTGTGCTTACATGTTTTATGAAATTGGGCCCAGGGCGATAGCGGTACATCAAAGGTGTGCAGTTGGATATTTCTACAGACCAACACACTTCGGGGAGGAGGTTCTATTCGAAACAAATCAAAAGAAATAATTATAAGTTAACATCCAGTACAATAACAAAAATCCTTAATTTTTCGGCATTCCAAAATCTCAGAAGAGGCAGAAAACAATCACAAATGAAGTATCAGTATACACCATAGAAGTATTTTATTTTTATTTTCGTCACCGACACCACGAAGTAACACTCTACCGTATTAAACCATATTTTTTTCGATTTTCAGTTTTTTTGATTTTTAAACATTATTCATCAAGGCCTACCATTGCACGAAGTTTCAAAGCTTCAAGAGCTTTACTTTAATAATTACGCTAAGTATCCATGGCAACTTTTGCGCAAAAGTGACAGTTGCACTTTCCTCGTGCTGTATATATTGAAGAGTGTTACTTCGTGAAAACTAAAATTTAGTTTCGCAGCTTTTTCGGTTTCACGAACTAACACTCATCTTTTTTCTCTTATTTCTTGTTTATTTAATACACAAACGGGTGAAAAACAGCAGATTTAATAAATTCAATTCATCAAGTGTCCACAACGAGAAACCCAACTGAAAATACTCTGTCGTTTTGACGCAAAGTGTTGTTTTAGAAGGCGTTCAACTTTAGATGCCGTTTTCTCCGATTGCTAGTTTTTACCGGTATGTACATGAGTGTTACTTCGTGGTGTCGGTGACGTTTTATTAAGCTCATTGCATTTGCTACTTACTGCATTTTTTTGCAGATCCGCCATCTTTCTTCCAACCATTTACTGCTTGGCCACGATCAAACTCACGAAAGCAACGGCAGCCATTAGAAGTTTCATGGCGAACACCCCTCCCGCAGCTGAAGTCAAAAATATAAAAAGGGGAAACGAGTTATGAGCAGTTGATCAAAGTAGAGGGAAAAAGAGAAAGTAACCAGACAGTCTATATTCAGAATGTTTGGGTTGTTTATAATTTATTATACAACACCTGAATAAATCCCCATCATCTGATTGGTGGATTGTTGATCACATGTCATTGAATTATTCGTACCAATGCAGGGCGCGCGCGTGGCGCGCAGCGCACAGTGCAATGGAAGTACTATTGCACTGTGATTAGAAGTACCATTGCACTGTCACTGCAAATGTTGCCGAAGGTGGCGCTGTGGTGTTTAAATTGGCAAGAAAAGTTCTGAAATTATTGAACTGTTTAAGTTCTAAACTTATGGAAAAGTTTTAAATTGAGATAAATTGGATATGATAGTTCTCAACCTGTTGAACAGTTTGCATAAATTATATATGATTACTCTGAACTTGTCAAACTTGCAAACAATTTTTAACTTGAATAAATTGGCTATTAAAAGTCAACCAGTCTGATGACGAGGATTTCTTTAGGTGTTATATAAAACAAATAATGAATGTTTCACGTTCGTGCAATAGAAAGAATAATTTCATTCGGTGACAGTCTCACTGACAGATGAAATGTTCCATTCCACTCGGCTTCGCCTCGTGGAATGGAACATTTCATCTGTCACCTCATGAAATTATTCTTACCATTGCACTCAAAAACATTCATTATTTGTATACTAAAATATTATCGTCAAACTATACAACTAGGCAACTTTTCGTCAAAGATATTATAAAAGTTTCTTGGAAATTTATATCAAGGAGAAGGAAAAACACGTTGACAAACGACTACGAATTTTACATTTGACTTACTGTTTAAAAGTGGTGTTCTTCAAAACATTACAAGTTGAAAATGAAAGCAATTCCAACTTCACTAAAACGCAACAGATATGATTTATCAAATTTTTGAGAAAATTCGGGCTAAAAGATTTAATGCATTCATTTTTTTTTAAAAGTAAGTCAAATGTCAAATTTCGTAGTTGTTTGTCAACGTGTTTATCGGACGGTCTATATTCAACTCAAGGTTAGTCTGAGTGTATTCGGGATTTTTAAAGTTCACAACAATATTATCGTTAAAGAACAAGTAGGGAACTTTTTTGCAATGATATTATAAAAGTTTCTTGTAAATTTATGTAGCGGTACGGCCCTGTTCACTATAAGGAGATTGTGCCTAGTCGGCCAGGGTCCCGTTCACCCTAAAAACAGATTGAAATAACCAATATATCGGTAGATTTGTCTCCAACCAAAATATTGGCTGAATTACCTACCCGTTCGTGGTTGTTTCAACCAATGTATTGGTTGAAATAACCAGCAAAGTGGTTGAAACAGCCAAATATTGGTAGGTAATCCAACCAATATATTGGTTGGACACATATCTACCGAGTGTGGCCTAGTGGTTAGGGTTTGTGACTCATGATCAGAGGGTCCGGGGTTCAAATCCAGCTGCTGGTCATATATTGTGTCCTTGGGCAAGGCACTTCACCCGCACTTGCCCCTCTCGACCCAGGAGTATAAATGGGTACCGGCATTAGCTGGGATTAACCTGCGATGGACTAGCATCCCATCCAGGGGGAGTAGAAATATTCTCAGTCGTTTCATGCTACTGAAACCGGAGATAAACGCCGGCCTGATGAGCCACATTTGCTCGGGACAGACTTTACTTTACTTACACATATCTACCGATATATTGGTTATTTCAACCAATCTGTATTTAGGGTGTTGTTTGATCCACCCAGATGACAGTGACAAAATACCCATGGAGTCACCCTCAATCTTCACACATCAACGGTCATTTGGGGACTGGAATCAATAAATGGGAGGGCCCAATTTCATAGAGCTGCTTAAGCAGAAAATTTGCTTAAGCACGAAAAAACATTGCTTAGTAAAATAAGGTTACCGGCCAAAACTCCATGTGATGTACATTGCTTGTGACTGGTATTTAGCTGTTGTTTACTTAGCACAACAATCGCATGGAGTTTTGGCCGGTAACCTGATTTTATTAAGCAAGACGTTTTTGTGCTTAAGCAAGTTTTGTGCTTAAGCAGCTCTATGAAATTGGCCCCTGATTGGAGAGTGAAGATTGAGGGTGACTGGGCGTAATTTTGCCATTGTCATCTGGGTGAATCAAACAACGGGGACCCTGGGCGACGAGGCACAATCTCCAGATATACAACAGTTTTTAACAGTTTTTCACATTTTGGAATGCACCCTCTATGTCAGGTAACATAATAAATGGCAATTTGTATACTTTTTCTAAGACAATTCCTTCCGATTTTGCCACCCTCGTTTTCCTCTGCGCTTCTGTGTTTCAAGGCTCTTTGTCAGTTTCTGTTTCTGTATCGTTGAACCTTGCAAGAAAAATCCTTTGCTAGGATCCAAACCACATCGCTTGGTAACTTCAGTTTTGAAAATTAACTTGCAGTCAAGTTTGGCCAATAAACACTAGTGGGCAGAATCAGGAAACAAAATTAAAGTAATCAATTCCATAACTTTCCTCGGCGATGATACAACTATCACACCTAATAATAATGTAGTAAATCCCACGATGGGGGACAACTTGGTGTTGTCAGCTTGCGCTGAATCAACGGTGAGGGATGTGAATCCCGGGTCAGGGAGCAGTAGGCCACGTCCAAAAATATAACACGCCAACTCTTGGTTGTAACTTGCTGTCTCGGTTTTATTGTTTGTTGACTACGAAAGAAAACCCCCAAGGCAACACTAGGCTTGAGCCTTCAGTAAAACAGGACCCTGGCTGTACTACATGTATGTGATCATGGAGGAATGTCTCTGAGCTAGCGGTCGTGAGCCCTTTTCCTCACGCCATTCTAGGGACGCTGAAAGAGGCCGTATTACTTAACAACTTATGTATCTATGGGCCGTTTCCATGCGAGTAAATCTGCATTATCCCTTGATTTCAACTAAGTCTTATTACAAGATTGTTGTCTTAACTCAATTCACATAGGGTTATCACCAAGAGATGAATTATACATCAAATAAGGGTTACAAACATAGGGTGATCCAGAACTAGTTCCTGTTTGGCGGAAGGCGACTACCGCACCCGAGGTGATGTGCGCGCTGTAAACAATTCGCCTTAAAGCAGCAGTTTAGATCTTAGTTTAAAGGTACTACATGTATATTCATAATCCATTTCCCCACAATAATAATAATAAAAATAATAACAGCTTTATTTATAGATGGTAGCCTTGTCATCTGTAAGATGATTTTCAATGGACCACCTTTGAGCTGAGGGAACCAGAGGCATCGGGGTAAACCCCTACTCTTTCACGACAGGTGCTCTGGGTTCTTTTACGTGCACTGATCCCATATAGCACACGGGACCTCCAGCTTAACGTCCCGTCCGAAGGATGTGGCCCCCTTTCAGATGTTATACGCACAAGGGGCTGCCATGCCCCAGACCAGCACAATATTGCCAGGCAGGCTAACGCAAGCAGCACATGGTGTGGTCTCCCATCCAAAGACCAGAGGTGGCAGCAAGTCATTTTTTGCAAGTCCAAGTCAAGTCACAAGTCATTGTTTGCAAGTCCAAGTCAAGTCACAAGTCATTAGGTCCAGTCACAAGTCAAGTCACAAGTCATTAGGTCCAGTCACAAGTCAAGTCACAAGTCATTTGGTCTAAAAACAAGTCAAGTCACAAGTATCTTTGTCCAAGAACACGTCAAGTTGCACATTATTTTGTCCAGCTGTAATAAGCTAAAAGAATTAACCTGGCGTGAACTTACGAGTTATTTTGAACATGCCTCCTTAATTCCCCTTTTTCAATGTGTTACAATTACTATTCTTGTAGTTTATCACATATCTGTCGGATATTAGCCCTTTGTATACTTTAATAAATTTACTTTACATTGTAGAAATAAATGTTGAGATGACCGTGAAAAAAAGACTTCCTCACTCGATTACACGTAGTATACTAACACTTTATTGTTCAATTTTCATGTATACTAAACGCCTACCAATGGGTAAGGCTATCCGGTATTTTACATGCAATTGACAAAGGCCTGCTTTCTTTTCATGAAAGGTTCCTTTCGAAGTTTGTTCAACCAATACATTAAGCAAGAGACAATTGGTCATTGAAAACTGTAGTTTGTTGTGACAGTCTTATTGAACACTTTTTAAACTAGTGGGAACTATTCATTTTACTGGATTCAGTCACTGAGGTCTATTTTCTGGAATGAAAAAGCTAATTAAAAGTATAATAGCTTAATTAAAGTGTATTGGGTCGCTCGAGTAGCGTCTGACTTGGGTTGGTAACAAGTCATTTTTTGCAATCCCAAGTCAAGTCACAAGTCATTGTTTGCAAGTCCAAGTCAAGTCACAAGTCAAAGCTGGTATTTACAAGTCAAGTCACAAGTCACAAAAATAGCGACTCGAGTCCGACTCGAGTCCAAGTCACATGACTCGAGTCAGCAACTCTGCCAAAGACTGCAGTCAACGTTACTTAACTTCGGTAGAGTACCACTTGCTCTTCCACTGAGCCAGCTGTCTGGGACACTACCTAATATAAGCTGGAGCACTCACCACAAGTCTGCGGAGTTTCGTCTTTGCAGTCTAAAGCATCACAGAGATCCTCCTCAATGACACACGAATAACGACCCTTGCTCGTCTCACGCCACAGGTCAGATGTACAGCTTCCTCCTGGATTGGCAACGAAGATACCAGTAAAATTTACATAATACATGCCTATTGAAACAGCTTTGTAAAAGGGCCAGCAATTTAAAATGTAGATTGCCAAGCATAGTGGTGTCTTGTACGAATGGGTGGGGGCGGCGGCTGGAAGCGGTGATTTTTGCTTTTACCCCCACGGTCGCTTCCCGTAGGATGCACCCCATCCTAACGTAGTATTATTTTGGAACGCATGCTCAGTCTACGAGAGGGGGGTATTTTTGTATACGTACAAGTAAAACAAATGGAGGTGGGGGTCAGGCGCGACAGATCTTTTAAATCTTTTGTTTAACCCGTAAAACAAAGACAAAGGTCATGGAGCGGGGGGGTCAACCGGTGAAACTTGCTCTCTGATTGGCAGTGGAGAAGCAACGGTTTTGAGGCGTTCAAACCCTCATGACGAAAAAAAATGACATAAATACTTTGAAAAGGTGAAGAAAAACAAAGCCAGTGAAATAATGATTATCCCCTGTTATGGATAGTAACATGTTGGAAAAGCGCTAAGTGAAATGGTGTCACCAACGTGGGAAAATGTTCTACCTCCCTCTTTTTCATATTTGTTTTACAGACGGGATTTTTCCCCCTGGGGAGCCCCCGTGTCGAATTTCTCGCTAAGCTCAAGTTGCTGACTGATACATGATTATTCCAGAAATATTTCACTTATTTGTTTCTCACTTGGCAAAGTCCTCAGCTTGTCTGCAATGACGTTCCAGAAGTGACACTCTTCGCTCTTGAGAGCTCTTCCTGTTGTCAGGTTCACATCCAGGCCTATGTACTCCAACTCCGGGACGGTAAACTTGGGCCACACACCTGAGGCGTCAGGGGTCCTGTTCAAGAGGGAAAAGTATAAATGTGCGCAGGCGCAAGGTGTAGGCCTACGTAGGCCATGTCACGAGTCTAGCACAGTTTAACCAACGGTTGTTGATCGAACTTGCTCTAGCGAAATTTTGATAATGGAATTCTAGCGCCCTCTAGTTTTACTTCGTTCACGTTGCAAGCACCTTGCACAATTCCCAGCGTTTCTTACAAGCTCATCAGAGCTTCGATCTCTATGCATGTGTAATGCCTAGCTGACACGCTGAGCCTGCATTTATTATTCATGCTGCGATCTGGCGTGATCACGTTCCCTAACCCCAGATAGCCAATTTCTTCCCCATTGCCTTTGTGGTTCTAATGCTTAGGCCAAAAAAAAAAGTCTCCGGTTTCTGGTATGCGCGGGCGTCACCGTAGCCATGCGCGTCGGCAAAATGGAAAAAAAAATTTCAATGAAAGATGATGTCTCAAAACCGCCAACCTCACTGGTTTGACTGCAATCCTGCTGCTGCACAATTTTAACGTGTTTTCAGATTGGGTTATGGTCGAGAATAAGCTTTATGTGGCCTCTCTGGACTCCCATATATTTGCACTAAGTTTAGTCGGGCACCATTTGCAGTCATCAGCCGACATTTGAAGCAAAAACTTTTTGGGCAAGCTCCATACCAGAAACCGGAGACTTTTTTTTTTTTGGCCTTACTCTGCCTTTTTTTACTCGAGACCCGTAGTTTCTGGCACACGACCCCAGCATAAAGTCATGTGACTATCATGTGACTCCTTGACATGGAAGATGCTCATTGGTACATGTTTGAGTCCTTCAAAGACGCTCATATTTTATTAATGTGCGAACTCTCTGTTCCCTATCAAATAAGGCAGAATTTCCCTAGATTCTTAATTCTTGATGCCAGGAATCAGTCCACTTGCATGGGACCAAGTAGAAGTCTTCCGACGTTGATTCATAACCCGGACCGTGGTGCACTACGAAAAGCTCCGCCAAGCAAAAAGTTGACGTGAGGTAGTATTAAACACCCCCGTGTGAATTGTTCTATGGGTGAAGTACGTGGTTAACCATTGAACGTCCTGCTAGCTTAGCTTGAACCTCGGCATGGGCGCCGATAATGGCCATCGCCTTCGGCTCGGGCCATTATCGGCGAACAGGCCCCTCACCGGTTATAAACTACAAATTTATAAACGCTTCATCACACTTTTGTCCTCTTATTAACCCCAACTCCCTAGGCCTTTTTGCTAGGATGTAGCCTCAATCCTGCAAAATCCTCCAATTGGCCTCATGGAAAAATAGCATATATACATGTAGCCTCAATCCTGCCAATTCCTCCGTTATTTCTTGAATATGGTCCATGGAGGGGTGACCACTGCCTGAATCCTGCAAAATCCTCCGGCTATGACTATCAATAGGTTGAGGCAGAGGCAGTGACATCCTGGAGCAGTGCGGAGGATGTCAAGTATAATCAAGGACTAAATTTATGCATGGCTGAGCATAAACAACACAAGGTCTGGCCCAAGACCTTGACACAGTGCATACTCCGAAATCAGCAACGCACTTTTGCCATGTAACCTCAATTCTGCAAATTCCTCCGATTTGCAAAAAGGATTTTGGAGGATTCAGGGCGGTTAGGGTTAAAAGCTAACCTTATGCTACCTATGTGAACGACGTATAGACGCAACGACTTCTTAAACCAATGTTATAACATTATTTTGAAGCAAATGAATGAAAGGAATTGAGGAGAATAACCAAGCTGTAGTGTGACCGTCACCCAAGTCCCTCTTTCCCACCAACTGTACAATTTGTTGACCCGATAGTATCACTGCATGCCCCAAATGAATGACTGTCATAGCACCACACTTGTGAGTTTCCTTCACATGCTGTATCCCCAAACCATGCGAAGCCTGTGATCAAATAAGGGAATAAATGTGTGCTCCGGAGGTTTTTATCACTCTGTTTAAGACCAGTTAGAGTCTGGGTGCTGATAATTATCCGAGCCGGAGGCGGTAAAAAAAAAAAACATAATTCGTTCAAAACATCCCGATTTTGTTCAACAAATTCACTTTATGCTTTTTGAAACATCCCTCTTGCAAAATAATGGAGTGTTCAGCTGGCGAGTAAGATGTAAACAACCCTTTTATGGAGATTGACGCGCACATATCATGTTCTGCACGATGTCGCGCAGAACGCACCTGGCGCGTTGCGTTTTGAATTTAGAACTATAAAATTCTGACTCCCTGGTAGTGTTGCGCATGCCTACGTGAGGATTGTGAACGTTCAACCAATGAAACGATAAGAGGCACTGGATTTTTAGGAGTCCACATTTTATTGTGACACTGGAAAAGTGTTTAAGACCAGCTAGCCATGTCTTTATCATCCGTTTAAGACCGGCCACGTGACGGGCTCTCGACCAATAGGAATGCGTAAACTGTCGTAGGTATTTATGAATTACTCTTTATACTCACCCGGTCTTGGCAAAGCTGGTCCAGAACTCCATAAACTTGACGGACAGCGCCTTGTCGTCGTCGAACATGCTCCCGTAGAACGGCCGGTTCTCCGGAAGGAATGGATGGCCGAAAACAAACCAGATATCTGCTCCGTGGGTGGCCCCTAACCACGAGGGGAAGAGGTCTCCCAGCGTACTGTACAAGACGTCGCGGCGTCTCATCTGATACATGAAGACGTCATCGTCACCTTGGGCGTGGTAACGTGCCACCCGATCGGTTCCACAGGCGAATTGGCCATCGGTGCTGTAGCCCACGAAGGTCCAGAAGTAATTGGCGTCTTCTTTGTCAGCCTGGGACCAGTCAACGTAGTGCTGTTCGATAGCGGCTACCAACTGGTCGTTTGCACCGCCTGAATCCAGAAAAAAATAATCCCTAATCATGAAAAGGCAATAATGTGAAACTTTTGGCGACATAGGCGGCAGAAACGTGAGAGCTTTACAGGCTGAGACGCCCTCTAATTAACCATAGAGCTTACTCTATGCTACAATTGAGACCTTGACACAATAGCTCCCCACCCTGGCCGTTAGTAAGGGAATAACAGTGTGAGGAGCCGGTCTTCACTGCGTGATAATGACCGGGTGTGGGGGTGACCGCTGTTAATGGACCAAGACGAAGGACTGTTACTATATTTTGACCAATCAGTGGCTTGCATGGGGCTGAACGGGGTTGGATCAATGCTGGTTCAGGGGCCATTTATTCGCTTGATCTTTGAAGCCGGTCCATTATCACCGTTAATGCCCGGCCACGTGATCGAGTCTCGACCAATCAGAAACCATCAACTCTCCAAGGTACTTATTAATGCAAAATAATAATAATAATAATAACAATACTTTATTCGGCATTGTTGACAATTACAAATAAGTATAGAAAATTGGAATATTAAAAAAATAAACAGAAGTAAACCATAGAAAAACACAGCGCACAGAAGACAGAACGTGGACACTGCAAGGCTGCCAAGGAGAAAAGCAAAAGTGAAACAAAACACTTTCGCCAAAAGGGCGTGTCTCTCCAACCCTGCACAATGACAAACATTATAACGCAGACCATAAATCAATTAAAAACACCAAAATTGCACAAGGGGGGGGGGGGGAAGGTCCAAGGAAGTACTATGTATAATGGGACTCAGATACGGTAGGGCGGGGTGAAAGGGGGCTTGGAGATGGGAGGGGTTAGGAGAACCGGGCAGTACGACAAAGGGAGGGAGACAGGGGTTAAGTGAAAACTGGGACAGAAATGAAAACCTGAAAGGGGAGGGTTAGACAGGGCCAATGGGTAGGGCAGGAAAAGGGAGGCAATAAAAACGGCTGAGGAGAAAAGGGGAAAAAGATATGGGGGAGGAATTAATCTAGCAAAGCATTAATATCCTGCATGATTAAAAAAACAACTAAACATAAGCATTGAAGTTCCAGAAACAGAAATGGAAAAAACGAAATGTGCCCAACATAAAAACCAATTTAAAAATGTTTCAAACACCAGAGTATAAAAGGTAAATCACAAGATATGGCCCAATTAATCCAGAGGTGAGATAACAGATTAAGATAACAGTTTAGTTCCTGCAAAAAAACACACAGGGGGGCGCAGGTTAACATATCAACTGAATTATCGGGATAAGTTCTCCATTTTCTAACAAACTGACAGGGAAGAGAATTTTTAAAATATGTCAGTACGAGCATACAGGCGGTGAAAGGTTTACCAGGAATTCGCATGTCTACTATTCACACTGACATCACTTAAAAAGGACGGTGAAAAAATTACCAGAATTATATACCGAATATCTATTGCTTATACAGACAAATTTCATAAATGAAAACTCTCGCCTGGCCCTAAGTGTGCCTAGATGAAGCACACTAAGCCACTCAGGGTAAGGTTGCTCCTATCTACGTTGATGCAAAATGAGACGAGTGGCATCCTTTTGAACCTTTTCAAGTTGATCAATGTGCTTAACTCTGTACGGAGACCAGGGCCCAATTTCATAGAGCTGCTTAAGCAGAAAATTTGCTTAAGCACTAAAAAACATTGCTTAGTAAAATTAGGTTACCAGCCGAAACTCCATGTGATGTACATTGCTTGTGACTGGTATTTAGCTGTTGTTTACTTAGCATAACAATCGCATGGAGTTTTGGCTGGTAACCTGATTTTATTAAGCAAGACGTTTTTGTGCTAAAGCAAATTTTGTGCTTAAGCAGCTCTATGAAATTGGCCCAAGCTTGACAGGGGGCAGTAATCGAGAATAGGCAAAATAATTGCCCATACAATCACCCATAACATGACGCGTGAAGCCAAGGGTCTTGTTGGCCTTAGCAGTGACATAGTGTACAAAGATTATGCTGAATATGAACCCCTAATAATTTCAGGGTTTCCACCTCAATGGGCGGTCAAAGGCCGGCTCCACCCTCATGTGGACTGCACTACGAGGGCTACATTTCTAAACGGTAGGCCACCAGACGTCACATGCCTCGGAAGCTTGGGAGCTTACGGACTGCCCCCCCCCCCCCCCCCAACGGCCAAATTAAGACCTTAATGCATAATGACCCCTCGCCTGAACACGGCAATTACGGTAATAATAATAATAATATAGTGCTTATATAGCGCTTTATACCAAAGGTCTCAAAGCGCTTTAGAATTATTACCCCTGTTCATCAGGCCATGAGACCAGTTTCTGCAGCAGCTCAAGATCAGCGCAATCTGGTCTCTACCTTCACAGGTACCCATTTATACTCCTGGGTAGAGAGAGGCAATTGTAGTAAAGTGTCTTGCCCAAGAACACAAGCACTATATTCCCCGTCCAGGTTCGAACCCACGTACCTTGGCAAGTGAGCCGAACACCGTAACCATTGGACCACAGCGCTCCACAATTGGACCACAGCATTGGATGAAACTGCTCATATTCCTGGCAGCCAAGCTTGGGTCCCGTTCTCAAATTGCAACAGTGCATGAGTTGCTTCATGCCACTAGTCCCCCCCCCCCCCCCCCCCCCCACCCTTCCCCCTTACTCACAAGTTTCCACCGCCTCGTGTTCGGCTTCCCACGCGAAGTAAATGACATGAAAAGGTCATCCATAAAATCAATGGTGCGTTTGCTGCCACCAAGAGTCTCAACAGAGTCCATTCAATAACTTTGCTAACGTGACGTAAATGTCTTACCGAATAAATTGACTACCTCTTCAGAGATTGCTTGGACGACAATATCCCTCGGCAGGATGGGAATTTCATCTGATGTACTGTTGATCATGTACGGTTGGAATAATGGATTGATAAAGGTAAACACTGTGCCTTCGTCCCTGGTTGACCCCATGAGAAGCTTGGCGTGGATGTACTCCCCCTTGGCGTACAGGTTGGCCGGTGTGTCATCCAGGAAGGTCCCGTCCACAACCACATGGGGCGTGTTGCTGCTGATTGATGTCTTGAATGCAAAAAAAAAAAAATAGGAAATAATTCAAGATAGAATTTATGCTATGCTAAAATGAGTTTGATTTTAACGTGATGAACCAGGGTGTATTCATTACCATATGCCTGAGGAGGGTGAACAAGATGCCAGAAAACGACCGGGTATATCTGTCTACAATTAAGCCCTTTAAAGGGAATATACATCATTTGCTTTTGCTGTAATTTTCAGAAATGGATGGAATTGGGGGTTGGAAATATATAGCAAATATAGTTACACTGACTTTTTGAGGTTTTGGGTTCGAAAATGCTATAAAAACCAAGAAAAAACAATTATTTTCCTGTAGTCTGGTTCCCTGACTCCATATAAGAAGATACAGAGCAGTTTACATAAATTGAGGAATTGTAAGGTCAGGGAACCAGTCTAGCTGGCTTGTACCAGTTCATAGGTGTGTAATCGATTGCAAACAAGTGCGGTGGTCAATTGGGGCCAGTATTTGAAAAAAAGCCAGTGTTTTCCAAAGCTGGTCGGCCGACCAGCGTTGGAAATTGATACAAAAATACCACTTTTCTTGAAAATGACAGTATACAAAGGTGCCATGATTTTACAGGATGCTTTAGACTGTCATTCACTAACAGTCCAGCAAGGTATTTCAAAATGATTTGGTAGTTTTATTTTTTGATGTTTGCAAATGTTGTATTTTCCCTTTAAGGCACATTGTCATGCACAAAAAGGGGCAGAATGAGACACCCAGCCCGAATACACCCTGCATCATGCATTGTACGAAAAGAAAATTCCAACCCCCCCCCCTGCAAATAATCCTGGATCCACCCCTGCCCCCCCCCCCCCCCCACCCTCCTGGATACGCCACTGCAAAGAGTGAACAGCCTGGTGTAAAATGGTATAAGAGACGGACGATGATTATCTGACATACCGCGGCGTTGAAAACAGCCAAGGAGTCCTTGGTCCGCAGGCAGTCTAACAGAGCGGCGCTCTCCTCTGCAGTGCAGCCGACTTTCTCCCCGATATCAAAGGAATACCGACGGAGCCGGTCCTTGTCTTCAGTGAACGGCCACGGAGCGAAGACGGTGCCACTCTGCATAAGAAAAAAATTAAGGTTGTTAAGGCGTTTTCACTCCCAAGCGGGACGAGATTTTTGAGATCTTTGTAGAGCCTACGATAAACAGAATGGTGTCCATGAACATTGTTTGGTAAGCAATGCTGAAAACCAGTTAAACACCCTTCGCCGTCAACATGTTGGTCGTCTTTGTCCTTGTCATCACGTCGTCAGTAGGACCATGACAAAGATATGATGCTTGCATGAATTAGGCCTATTGGCATAAGCACAACCATTGGGAGAAATCGTCGACAACCCACACCCATATCCGTATCCAATGAGCACCAAGTTGGCCTCCAGATCCAAGGCGATGAGAAAGCTTTGATGAGAAAGCTTTACTTATAGGCACACCTAGACTTGTGATCAAGTCCTTGGATCGGTCGTTGTCCGTGGATGTAATTCCGGTTCGACTTCCGTGCTACACCTATAATAACACGCATTAATATACCGCCCTCTGACGTCCATATCCGAGTCCTAGTTCCAATCCAAAATGAGCATTCTGCAATGACACTCTGCACAGCCTTTGCCTACTTCTTCCAATATCGGAAGGAGCAATGTGATTGGTCGAGATTACTGAAGGGCAATATCATTGGCCAAAGTTCTACTGTATGAATATTCAGATTACTACTTATACTAGCTGGTATGCGACAGCGCGTTTGTAGCTTGTCTCCCCCGGCAAAATACACTAGCGCTCCGAGTGCACACGACCATTTAAGAGGTTGTGGAATGCTCGAAGACATTTCCGTAATTTTTCGGGTATATGTAGCCTAAGGTGGGATGAAATAAAAACGACTATTGTTTCTGTCATAAAATGAGTACAAAAGGTACTTTTGAGAGCTGTTTTTCAGGTCCTGTCATGCCTGTTTCAACCCAAACGTGCAATTTGTGTAAAAGTCGTCGTTGTGGGCAACAAACAAAACACAGTAAATCGTGACGTAATAAACAGGACTCCCGATGCAGAGTAGCATAAACGAGTCCCGTTTATTACGTCACGATTTACTGTGTTTTGTTTGCTGCCCGCAACGACGACTTTTACACAAATTGCACGTTCTGGTCGAAACAGGACCTGAAAAATAGCTCTCAAAAGTAACTTTTGTACTCATTTCATGACAGAAACAATAGTCGTTTTTATTTCATCACACCTTAGGCTACATATACCCAAAAAATGACGGAAATGTCTTCGAGCATTCCACAACCTCTTTAATAAATGAAAAACGGGGGTAATTTCAAAGTTCTCAAGTTCTTGGATTGGCACTAGGTGCTCTAGACGGATAAAGGCACAAGAGGTTGTGCGTGCGGGACTGGGTATAGACCACGGGCAACGCCCAATCCAATCCAAGGACTTGAGCTCACTTGAAGTCTAGGAAACACAGTAGAGGAGCTACAACGTGTGCGGCATTATATTTTAAGAATTTTTTTTTTTTTTCCCCTGACTGGGCGGAGCTTGCGAAGGAAAAGCGGCATTTTAATTTATAGCAAAAAAAATGCAAACTGATGGCAAAATAATAATCCAAAATGTGACCAATGTATCCTTCACATTTCTAAAGGGTAAAGACAGACTAAAGAGTCCGTGGCTAGACTAGTCAGTGTTTGGTACCAAAACGTTCTCTTAAAGGGAAAATACAACATTTGCAAACATCAAAAAATAAAACTACCAAATCATTTTGAAATACCTTGCTGGACTGTTAGTGAATGACAGTGTAAAGCATCCAGTAAAATCGTGGCGCCTGGTATACTGTCATTTTCAAGAAAAGTGGTATTTTTGTATCAATTTCCAAGGCTGGTCAGCGTTGGAAAAACCTGGCTTTTTTTTTCAAATACTGGCCCCAATTGACCATCGCACTTGTTTGCAATCGATTACACACCTATGAACGGGTACAAGCCAGCTAGACTGGTTCCCTGACCTTACAATTCCCCAATGTATGTAAACTGCTCTGTTTCTTCTTTTATGGAGTCAGGGAACCAGACTACAGGAAAATGATTGTTTTTCTTGGTTTTTATAGCATTTTCGAACCCAAAACCTCAAAAAAGTCAGTGTAACTATATTTGCTATATATTTCCAACCCCCCAATTCCATCCATTTCTGGAAATTACAGCAAAAGCAAATGATGTATATTCCCTTTAAAAAGTGCTAAAACGTAATAATGTTGTCGCGGGACTGTCACGATCTGTTGATCGGTGGGGTGGGTGACGTCTTGGGTGTTAGCAGTTACAGTCCTCACCTCCATTATAGCATTGCTGAACAACCCCTCAGCCTCCTTGGACAGTAAGAGAAAACTGACGCTGGCTGATCCCGCACTCTCGCCAAAGATCGTGATCCGTTCACTGTCCCCGCCAAAAGCTGTTGAACCAAGAACATTTGCCAGTGAAATAAACCAATGAGCTGTCCAACTGAAACCAAAATATGCTGATATCTAATAATCTAAAAGTAGATTCTCTGAAACGAGCAACTTTAAGAGAGTGTCGTATATTAGACAAAGAAGACACACCAGGCTTGTTGATCAACGGCAGATTTGTTGCAGAGTCACAAAACACTGCTTAAGGAGGATGTTGATTGCTGAGAGAGATCTTCGTCATTTTGTAGTTTAACCCTTACCCTACTAGACCCTCCAACGCATGCCAATATGTGCCTCAAGAAAATCTCCTATGTTTTTTGCATGGCCCTCCAATATCTGCCATGTCATTTCAAGGGTAACTGGACAGGCACTCCAATACATGCCACAGAGAACAATGAGAGTCCTCTGATAACAAAGTGAGTGCCCCCAGCTGGTCAGTATCAGGCACCCTCCAGGGCCTCCAACTCCTGCCAATTGGAGCCTTCACTGTTAAGACAAACTATCTGCCAATAAACTGCAGCTGGAGGGCATTGGCATAACCAACTGACATGCAGTAAACTACCCTCAGAGAGTAAGGGTTAATGTAGATTACTATACAACAGGCAATTATTTCTGCCATGAAAGGTTACTTTTGAGAACTATGTTTTTAAATCAAGTCCCGTCTAACCCGCTTGTGCCATTTGTCTACAAGTCGTCGCTGTGGACAGCAAATAAATGTGACATAATCAAACGACGAAGTCCCCTTTTGTGCCTAGTACTAGAGACCAAAGGGGAGGCCATTTCATGAAGTCAGATTTGTTTGCTGCTCGCAGTGACAACTTTTAGACAATGTCACCAGTGGGCTGGACGGGACTTGATGAAAACAGCTCCATTAGGAAAGATTTTTGCCCTTTCCCGACGTAGTCTGTCAAGCACTGCATGCTCAGTCATGTCAGTGCTTTCCGAGAACCTGTGGGGAAAAATCAAAAGGCTCACCCCAGCGGGAATCGAACCAACGACCCCCTGCTCACTAGTGCCCCAAACTCGACGTGATCACCGAGCTTGCCGGAGTCGACCCGAATCTAATGCAGCATGCAGCGAGCACCTCGCAACCAACGTGAAGATGAAACTTTTGCGTTGGGGATGAAGTTAATAAGGAGATTTTTTTTTTTGCTCGTCCAGACTCCGTGTATTAAAGCACTGTTTGCTCAGTGCTTTCTGTGAGCATGTCGGGGGAAAACAGTTCTCAAAAGTAATGTTTTTTGGTAATGGCAGAAATAATTGCCTGTGTTAGGCCCAAAAAAAAAAATATTCGGTCTCTGGTCAGACCAAAGTTCCGGAATTGACGCGGCCACGCGCTTTTTTTTTTTTTTTTTTGCTTTTTTTTTTTTCTTCAAGCTTGGATTGTACAGACAAGGTGGGGTACTGTTTTGCTTTTTTGGTGTTCTCATGTACATTGGTGTCCTTCATAATTTGCCTTGGTGCTTTTGATCATTTGCCTTGGTGCAATTTCCCATTCCTTGGTGCTCTTTGGTAAAAAAAATTGAGGAGGTGCGGAAATAGAGGGCGCTGTTGGAGCTACCGCAGAACATTTTGGAAGAAAAAAAAGATCGACGCGCATGATAAAATTCGACGTGCGCGCTGAACAGAGACCGACTTATTTTTTTTTTTTGGCCTTACTTTAATATATCTTTTATATCATTGGTAAGTTTTTATTTGAAAGCTAATTAGCTATGAAGATGATACCAGTACTACCAATCTTCATGTGTAATATTTCCGTCTGAAATTCTGTCCTCTTCATTTCTAAAGATTTCCGAAACTGCCGCTGTTTATTTCGATTGTTAACAACCAAAATAAGCACCATATCAACGTGCACAAAATCACTGTTAAAAACTGAACGGTTTCTCGCTATTTTCTCGTGACTCGGATGACGGATTGAGCTGAAACGTTCACAGGTTTGCTATTTCATGTATATGTTGAAACACGCAACGTTTGAACACCATATGCAACTGTGTTGTTAGCACTACCAATGAGGTATCATGCCTTTAAGGCCAAAAAAAAAATAAGTCGGTCTCTGGTCAGCGCACGCGACGATTTTAATCATGCACGTCTATCTTCTTTTTTGTCCAAAATGTTCCGCGGTAGCTCCAACAGCGCCCTCTATTTCCGCACCTCCTCTTTTTTTTTTTACCAAAGAGCACCAAGGAATGGGAAATTGCACCAAGGCAAATGATCGAAAGCACCAAGGCAAATTATGGAGGACACCAATGTACGTGAGGACACCAAAAAAGCAAAATAGTACCCCACCTTGTCTGTACAATCCAAGCTTGAAGAAAAAAAGCAAAATAAAAAATAAAAAAAATAAAAAGCCGCGTGGCCGCGTCAATTCCGGAACTTTGGTCTGACCAGAGACCGAATATTTTTTTTTTTGGCCTAATATACGTAACTACATAAAACTACAAAATGACGCAGATTTCTCTCTGACATCAACGCCCTCTTTATAAAGGAAACGTACAATAACAATGCAATTTCCACATTTTACTAATCTATGTTCGACCAACCTGCCTGACTAACGTATGTTCTACCAACCTGCCATGTTCTTCTGCCAATCGATCATTCATACACAGCCTAGGGTAGCAGACCAGTAAATAAACTTCCATAGACCCCAATGGTAAATGCTCCCACTTCCAAAATTCGGGAAAAATACTCACAACTCTCCAAGGTGTTCGAGACACTCATCAAATTAAAAGCTTATTTCATCATCTTTCATTTTCTTTTCAATTTTCGGGGGGTCAACGGATGACTTTTAGGAGAAATTACCATCTGAAGATGATCACCCCTGAAAATAGTCCTGAAGCCCATCGCCATTTTGAAAAACGATGCCTACACTCCATTGCAAAATAGTGCGCTTTTAGGGTCCAAATTACATCCAAATTACACAGAACTGCAAGCTGCCAGTCCTGTGCACGGCTTCCACCCATATTTTTTACAAACCCTCAAGTTCATGGCCCACAGCATGCTCAAATACCGAAGATTTTGTTGAGGGCATGCAAATCTTGATTTGGCCGGCGTAGGCAATTTCGGACCGATTTACTGGTCTGCACCCCTAGTTGTCACCAACCTGTCTTTACTAACCTGCTATGTTGTTCTTAATCCACTTCAGGCCAAGGATGTGGTCACGAAGACCCACATTACCTGGTGCGCCTTCATCACCTATTCACATAATGGCAAAAACAATGTAATTGATTTATCAGCATTTAGAAGATAAAAACAGGGTGTAATTTACAGAGTGTTTAAAACTACAAGATATTTTTTAAAAAATACACTTTGTGTTTTTAAAGTTGAATAACCTTAAAAAAAATATCAAAACATATCTTGCAATGAAAACTGAAAGCGATAGGATTTTGTATGGTGAAATCCCTTTTGAAAAAGAACAAGTCATTTATCCTTTACACACTTTACACATGATCTTCGGTTGCTACGGGTATAGTACTTTGGTAGCCATGGGATAGTACTTTTCGGTCGTGGGCTAGTATTTTGGAGTGTGAGCGGTGATTATAGTAAAAATAGCGAATACCATGTGACACGTTTTAGGCCAATCAAGAGACAGAATCCAAGCATGAGGTGTTATAAAGTGCGATATGCACCTTTGAGGAATCCTTAGTTTCATTACCAGAAAGAATTTAAATAAATAAATAAATTAACTTAAAGCCCAAGTCCATCATTTGCAGCTATCCAAAAAAGTAACCGGCGTAATTATTGTTGAAAAACATACTGGTTGAAAGATAGTAAGGGGACTAAACTCCCTGTGAAATGATCCTTTCTGGCAAGCTCTCATTTTGAAGAAATCAACGAAAGAAGGCATTTCCAGTGCTTCTTAAGAAGCACCGTAGGAAAATTTAAGTTCGTTTTGTTATTCGGCGCAGCGCGCACAAGCATTGGAACGACACACAGGCGCGCGCAGTTGCTATAATTCGTTGGATCAGTGCGCAACCTCGCGTAAAGCTACAATTCAAAATAATTCAAAACATGATTTAGCAACTTTTGATTTTAAATTGAGATCTTAGAAACCTGTTTTTCTCGGAATATGAAGCTGAAGCTGAGCTGAAACTTCATCAAGTAAGTTGTTCAGTATCCTTCATTAGATTTTGAACACATTTGTTGCTTCAAACGAATAAAATGCATTAATTACAAATGATGGACTATAGCTTTAAACTGGCCAAGGGTAATAGAGAAGGAGTTTCCTATAGGGCCCTGCATGTATCTTTTAATATCATTGGATAATTGGATTTCGACAATATCTACAATGCTGGTTTGATGAGAGAACGTGCATTCAAGGCAAGTGGTGTTTGCAACGTTGAAACAAAACGTTTTTAGATACCTGTGTACAGAAAGCCGAAGACGTTGACTCGATAGTTCATGCTGACAACAATGACGTCACCAAAGGCGGCCAATGCCACTCCATCATATTGGTTGGAGGTGGCCGTTCCACCCATGTGGGCACCTCCGTGGATCCAGACCATAACTGCAGCGCCCCCTTGCTGTGAGAAAAAAAGTAAGTACGTGGCCCCTTCTTATTAAAGGGAAAATACAACATTTACAAACATCGAAAAATAAAACTACCAAGTTGTTACGAAATACCTTACTAGGATGTTGGTAAATGACATGCTTAAGCATCCTGTAAAATTATGGCACCTGGTGTGAAGCCATTTTCAAGAAAATGGCATATTTGTATACATTTCCAACGCTGGTCGGCCGACCACCGTTGGAAAAACCTAAATATTTTTCAATTACTGCTCCAAATTTACCATTTTTTTTAGTCTAAATTTTGTTTTGCTAGCTATTGGTTCCATGTTCATGAACGGGTGCAGGCCAGCTAGACTGGTTCCCTTACCTTACAATTTTCTGGTATTTTTTATCCATTTCATCTTTAGTGGAGTCAGGGAACCAGACTACTTGAATATTTTTGTTTTTCTTGTTTTTTCCAGCATTTTCGAACACAAAACATCAAACATGTCCGTGCAACAATATTTGATCTATTATACTAACCCCCCAAATAGTTCATTTCTGAAAATTACAGCAAAAGCCAATGATGTACCGGTACATGTACATTTCCTTTAAACCGTAGACTCAGCTTCAAGATTTGGGGAGGGGAGGGGTGCTGGTACTTGATCATTTGCATATCCTAAAATCTTGGATATTACAGTTAGGTGGATTGCAGACCATGCGTTCTGTGTAGTATAGTCAGGTACTGCATAATACTACGAGCTTCCGTAACGGGGTTCACGGGGTACCATACTATAACGTACAAAATCCATGCACTGCAAGGACATCGTCGTAATTGTTCAGGCTGGTGCACGCAAGCCTTACTCAAAATGCACATTAGTTCAGGTGGGGTTCCATACGTCTGAAAATAGTGATAGCGTTTTATAAAGTGAGAAAATAACCAATTTTTGTAATGGTGATGGGACATTTTTGGACATTGTTTTTAAGTTACTTATTGGTTTCTCATGTTCAGTTTTGGGAAAGGTCTCTTCATGGAATCATTACAGGTAGTAATTACGAGTTATCAGCTTCTTGTTACAGCAGCCAATCAGAAAATAGCGAGGTACTTTCCCAGACAGAGTCTATTATTATACAACACCTGAATAAATTCCCATCATCTGATTGGTGGATCGTTGATCACATGTCATTGAATTATTCATACCAATGCACGGCGCTCACGTGGCGCGCAGCGCACAGTGCAATGGAAGTACTATTGCACTGTGATTAGAAGTACCATGTTGCACTGTCACTGCACATGTTGCCGAAGGTGGCGCTGTGGTGTTTAAATTGGCGGACTGAAAATGACGTATGAACACTCTTTGGAACTGTGTTGTCAGCTCGATCAATGCTATACTTTAGGCACTCACTCGCGGTCACGAATTGTTACTCTACATTTTAGATTTACATGTATAGCAGAAATTTATGACCTTGTTTTTTTTTCACAAAATAGAATGAAGTGACGTAAAACAACTCACCACGCCTGGGCGCGGTGCCCATATGTTCAGATGCAGACAGTCTTCGCTCCTTGGATGCGATCCAACAAAGGCAGAGTCTATCTGTACACAAGCATCTCTGAAGTACGTAGCGTTGTAAGTTATCTCCCAGGGCTGTTTGGCCACCGGGGGCTTGAACCGCAGCGTGCCCACGGGAGGCTCAGCAAACGGTATCCCCTTGAAGACATCGATGGTCTTGTTCACCTTGAGGAATTCAGACTCCTGGAAAATCTCGGTGGTGCCGAACAGGTCGCCTTGTTCCACGGTCACGGTGGGCTGATCCTGGGCGGCAGTTAGTGCCATGAGCAGGCCAAGGGATAGGACGACTTGCAACCTCAAACAATTGCTACCCATGGTTGGTAGTCGTTTCTTCAAATTACCACCACACGCCTGTCAGATTTCCTAATCTGGTTTTTCAGCAACTTGCTCCCCTGTGGAGGTTTCGAAGCAGTATCGTCCTCCAGGTCCTATGGAAAATATTATATAGCCGCAATCAATATATTGTGCCTGCTTTCAAACGTTCACAATCTACAACAACTGTGGCTATTGTTCACCAGATATGACTCAGCCAAAGTCGGGTCCTGTCAATATTTGTTGTAAGCGGTCAAGCCTTTGTTACCATTCTTGGTAGTTCAAGTGCAGTTAATAGAGCGCGTAAGTTGAACCCAAAATCCAAACAAAATGCATTAACCTTCCTTTGTTACCATATTTGGTCATGAAAGTGCAGTTAATAAAGCGTGCCAGTTAATTGAAAATCCAAACCAATTTGGTAATTTTTTTTTTTTTTGGTTTAGTGCACATTTCAATAAGGCCAAACAAAAAAAGCGTCCGGTTTCTGGTATGGAGCTTGCCCAAAAAGTTTTGCTTCAAATGTCGGCTGATGACTGCAAATGGTCCTTGACTAAACTTAGTGCAAATATATGGGAGTCCAGAGAGGCCACATAAAGCTTATTCTCGACCATAACCCAATCTAAAAACACGTTAAAATTGTGCAGCAGCAGGATTGCAGTCAAACCAGTGAGTTTGGCGGTTTTGAGACATCATCTTTCATTGAAAAAAAAACTTTTTCAATTTGCCGACGCGCATGGCTACGGCGACGCGTGCGCATACCAGAAACCGGAGACTTTTTTGGGGGCCTAATGTAGGATTTTTTTCTCTGGTGTAGAATCCATCAGGACTTTTTTGTGCAGTGAACAGGATAGGACTGGACTGACGAATCTCGCCTCCCGTGAAAAATCACTTTATGGTTTTCTGCACATTTCAACAATGTACAATGTAGGATGTTTTTCCCTCGTGTAGGATCTTTTTTGTGCAGTGTGGAATAGCATAGGTTTGTCAGATCTCCTCTCCTATGAAAAATCACTTCTTGTTTTGTGCACACTTTCAATGGTGCAAGGGCGGATCCAGAACACAATTTTTGGGGGCCCAAAAAATTGTGGTCCTCCAAAAAAGTGGGTCAAAAAAATTATGGCGTGGGGTACGGGGCCCGCCTAAGGGCCCCGACAAATTTTTGGATTCTAGATGCTCTGTAGTGCGATCTGAGGCAATTTCTGACCACTTTAACCAATGTTTTTTTGAGGAAAAGATGGTGGTGTACTCATTGCCTGCCTTTTTTGCAATGTCACATAAAAAAAGAAATTGGTTTTGTTTTTTGGGGGGGGGCCATGGCCCCCTTTGGCCCCCCCCCCCCCCAGGATCCGCCCTTGCAATGGTGTAGGATGTACAGTCGACGCTCGTCAGTACAAACTCTGTTAATACAAAATGTGGTTATAACAAACATAAAGTCGTGATCCCGACTGTGCTTTTATGTGCACAATGAATGGGACCGATGTTTCTCTTAATACAAAATTCTGATATAACAAACAATTTGGCTAGGTCCGAACGAGTTTGTTATAACGAAACTCGACTGTATATCCCTCGTGTAGGATTCCTTTATAGGACTTTTTTGTGCAGTGTCGGATGGTGTAGGACTGTCAGAACTCGCCTCCCCTAAAAAAAAAATTTTTAATTTTGTGCATATTTCAATGGTGTAGGATATTTTTTCCCTGGTGTAGGATTCCTGTAGGACTTTTTGTGTAGGACATTCACAGTCGTCAACATCTTTGGCTATTGCTTACCCAGAGATGCCACAAGGTTTGCTTGAAAAAAACGGAACTGGGTCTGCTTGAAAAAAACCGGAACGGCTGCTTGAAAAAAACCGGACTTTTGTGTATGTGAAAAAGCCACTCCGTGTCCGACACAAAGTCCCCGCTGTCATCTTTATCTTGTAGCCAAGCCAAGTTCTGTTTATTTTTTTAATTTTGCTTCTATGGCCTTGAAAGCTGTCGGTTCGTTCAATCACTTTGACTTTTTCCATCCTAATATTTATTCTGCCTACCCGAATTTCCAACGTAATATTCGACACGAAACATGCATGATTCCACAACACTGCTGTCGGTGTACATGATCCTTTCACTACGCGATGCGCTCAACGAAAACATGGTTGGTACCCGCATTTTTTGTATTCACATATATCACTGCGATCGGAAACCACCGATAGCTGAAATGATAGACTTGATTTCCAGGCTGAATGCTACGTGTGCTTAGCACACAACACGCCCGCACGCGGTGAAGCACGCGCGAGGCGCCGTTGTATACTGCGTGCAATTAAGTACGTTGGCCGTTTGTATCGCATGCAGGCTCGGCAACAACATACACAAAGACTGTTTTTAAGACTACTTCAACGAACAACGTTGTGCCATGCGTGCGCCTAAATGTACTAAATCGAGGTAAAAATCAACGCATTTCCACAGTTTTTCTTCTCTTTTTCAGGTTAATTTGACGGCCGGAAAAACCGGAATTTTGTGAGATTTTTTTTAAAAACCGGAATTCCGGTTAAAACCGGAAAAGTGGCATCTCTGTTACCAGATATATGATTTAGCCAAATTGAGCCTATATGTCAGTTAGTCTGTTCCTTTCAATTAAAAAAACAAAACTTTTTTGGTCATTCAGGTGCAATTAAAGATGTCTGTGCTTTTTGGGCGCGGCATCCCGAAAAATTAATTTTTGAAATCGAATTGCCTATTTGTTAGCATTTATCTGCAAGTTATGAGCTTTCCAATGAGACATTCCACAAAAACAATCCACCGACGATAAGTAACAGAGTGAATGAGTTTCACTTTTTTTTTGCAATTGGAGCGGGACGCTCCAATTGTAGCACAGTGTTAATGTATAGGGCAATCATCGCACGTAAAGTTAAGACCAAATAGATTGCAGAATGTAAGGCCTAAAAAAAAAAATGTTCGGTCTCTGGTCAGACCAAAGTTCCAGAATTGACGCGGCCACACGGCTTTTTTTTTTTTTTTTTTGCTTTTTTTTTTTTCTTCAAGCTTGGATTGTACAGACAAGGTGGGTACTATTTTGCTTTTTTGGTGTCCTCATGTACATTGGTGTCCTCCATAATTTCCCTTGGTGCTTTCGATCATTCGCCTTGGTGCAATTTCCCATTCCTTGGTGCTCTTTGGTAAAAAAAAATTGAGGAGGTGCGAAAATAGAGGGCGCTGTTGGAGCTACCGCGGAACATTTTGGGGAAAAAAAAGATCGACGCGCATGATTAAAATTGATGCGCGCGCTGACCAGAGACCGACTTATTTTTTTTTTTGGCCTAATAAAGCGTTTTTTTTCTTTCAAAAATAGTTTCCCCTGTTTTACGTTTGTCAGTCTGAGTGACGTCTCCGAGTTGCAACGTGAAAAAAAAAACCTCTTGCCAAATGCGGTAAGTAAAGTACTGCAAGAGTATGGTACTGATTTTTGCTATGGTGAGATTCGTAAATTATGCCAGAGTCGACAACAGGCTAATCATTACCCAACTGATGATTCAGTTCATACCTGTCAATATTTGTTATATATGGTACTGATTTTTGCCATATATGGTGAGATTCGTCAATGCCAGAGTCGACAACAGGCTAATCATTACCCAACGGATGATTCAGTTCATACCTGTCAATATTTGTAATAATCAGTATGGGTACTGATTTTTGCCATATATGGTGAGATTCGTAAATTTATGCCAGAGTCAACAACAGGCTAATCATTACCCAACTGATGATTCAGTTCATACTTGTCAATATTTGTTATATTCTATATGACCTAATTCTGTTATCTCTTCACGACCTAACGTCGGGCCAATTTCATAGAGCTGCTTTTAAAGCACAAAACCCTTGCTCGGCCATCGGATAAAGCAGGTTACTAGCCAAGAGTTCATGTGATTGTCATGCTAAGCAAACAACAACTAAATACCAGTCACAAGCAATATACATCCCATGGAGTTTTGGCTGGTAACCTCATTTTAGTAAGCAATGTTTTTGTGCTTCAGCAAATTTTGTGCTTAAGCAGCTCTATGAACATGGAAACACTGTAGTATCGAGAGACAAAATACTGCAACGACCACTGACACAAACATCACTGTCACAGATCATGTCATAATCAGCAACCCAGCTCGATTCACGATCGGTTCCTTTGGGAGGAGGTACATGTATTAAAGGGTACACATTTTAAAGAGGCTTATTTTCCACAGTTTTCCAAATTACGAAAACAACTTTGACATTGCCTGTAACTAACAAAACTATATAGTCATGACAGATCTGAAAATTGAACCCAATAAAAAATTCAATGTTGTGTACGCGTACGAAACTTGAATACTGCTCGTTAGTAATCACAAAAATTTGATAAGTTTTGAGATAAAAACGGACCTGTATATTTTTAGGACAAAACAAATCAGCATCTGTTGCCACAAAGCGCTCCAGTCAGACAACACACGCAATGGGGGAAAATCACGGTGGGTTGCATACTCTCTCACGTGCTGCAGGAAAATGTTGTCACAGGCCGGCGCGGCGCAGGCTGCCGCGCTGGGAGATGTATTAACTTTTACGGCCGGGGACCGGACGGGGCAGCCGGCAGCAATTCCCGGTGCTTATTTCTCATCATCATTTTCCACATTTGTTTGTGAGAGTATCGATTGTAAATGATTTGATACAACTTTTGTGGCCCTTTTTATAGCTTCTGTAGTGTAAATGGAACTGGTTCAGAGCATTTTGGCTAGAATTTGGAGGCCTTACAAAATTGAAACCGCTGCCGTCGGTGCGGCTTATACGCCAGTGCGGCTTATACGCCGACTTCAAATCTTAATTTGCAGATTTTTGCGTGCTGCGGCTTATGCGCCGCGCGGCTTATATTCCGAAAATTACGGTAGATTTCACAAGCAGCGTTAACGCGATTCTACCGCGATACGTTCATAATCATATAGCTCTTCTTTTTAAATAATCCAATTTCAATGCTTCCATTTGTTGGCATGTTCTATTATCGTGTCTTAAGACGCAAAAAGAAAAATGCTTCCAACTTACCCCAGAAACCGTCGAACTCTGCGGCCGCGTGGTAATACATTTATGCCTTGTTATCACTGTGTAACCCGTGGTTCACATTTCAAAATAACAGGAACCAAATTTTATATTAATTTAACTCCCTTTTTTTTTCTGCTTGGAGGCGTGGATCGAGGCCGGCGATGTGAGGATAGGTGTAATAGGCTACAATATTTTTAATAATATGCAAACCTGCAAAAAGTGCCAAGTACAGCAAATGCACAAGTTTGTCTTCTCATAAATGATCTGAAGGGAGGGCGCACTTGTAAATGTGTCGGGGCACGAAGCAACGGAGTCGCGGAGACGCGAGGCACTGGAGTCGCGGAGGTGCGGAGTGGCAGAGACGCGCACCGATAGAGGGCGCAATTCTCAGCAGTATTTTTTGAGACAAAGCATCCATATCCATTTTTAATTTCCTCGCAAAGGAAGGGAGGAGGGCGACGAGGCACTGGAGTCAAGGAGTCGCAGAGACGCGGGGCACTGGAGTCCCGGAGGCACGGAGTCGCTGAGTCGCAGACACGTGGAGTCGCAGAGATGCAGAGAAGCGTTTTTCAAAATGGCGATGGGCTTCAGCCTTCAGGACTACATTGTATTTTCTGTAATCCTTACCTTTAGGACCCCGTTCCTATATAAGGTTAAAAGACTCACCAAAACAGCTGACTAAATGACAATCAAAAGTGACATTCTGATATTTCTAGACACATGTGAACAGTTGGCAATGACACCTTCTTGAATGCAGGTTTAATTTTGTGAAAAGAGGGCAGGGCTTTGATTTATATGAGGGGTTAAAGATGACGATGACAAACAGAAATAATATTATTATTATTATTATTATTATTTATTCGGCCAAATTACAAGGTACAACAAGCAATTCACAAAAGTAAACAAAAAACTAAACAAAAACAATCCAATCCAAGCTGGCCAGGATTGACAAAAGTATAATAAAACACTGTGACTCGAAAGCCTGTCAATCCTAACTTGAATGGTACATGTAACATACAAAATATATTAAAAATTAGGTATAAAATTCAATGAAAAATAAGACCGCCTTAAAAATAATACTTAAAAAGAGCAAGATGGCGAACTACACAAAAAGGTAAGAAAGTCACACTTTTTTTTAAATTGCTTTCAAAATTACAACTAACATGAGTTTATCTGAGAAAAAAAGAATGTATTAGCCTGCAAAAGTCACCTTAGTACTGGACAGTCATCTGCAAAAGTCAGTTTTGAACAGAACTCATAAAAATAGAGGTGTCCTAAAGATAAGGATTACCAGATTTTCAGGGGTGATCATCTTCAGTTTGAAATTTCTCCTTAAAGTCATCAGTTGACCCCCCAAAAATTGAAAAGAAAATGAAAGATGATGAAATAAGCTTTAATTTGATGTGTGTCTCGAACACCTTGAAGAGTTGTGAGTATTTTTCCCGAATTTTTGAAGTGGGAGCATTTACCATTGGGGTCTATGGAAGTTTATTTACTGGTCTGCTACCTTCGAGACATCTGCCGCGCCCCAACAACAAATTTCTGGGCCCTCTTCATTCGCACCATGGCACGCACTATCCACACACACGGCTCAGCTATCAAATAACCCGTACGCTTTTCACACAGAGCACAAAAAATGACACATCTACGGAGTACGGACACACTCACGATTGTTTCCATCCCAGAGTCATGAGAGTCGGCCGCCCGAGCTCCGGTCACCCCGCCGCCTGCACCGGCCCCTCTCGACTTCTTCTTCGGTCCAGCAGCATCTCCAATCTCCCCAGGAAAACGCTTCTTCGCTCTTGGCATCTTAACTTTCGGGGAATCGCCAAATTGCTGTGAAATAAAACCCGTCTGCGATGCTCCGCACATTAAGAAAATCCCCGGGAAAAAGTCTACCCGGGGGCGGAAGTGAATTTAAAAACCCCGAAAATTCGGGTTTTGATGGGCGCCCTCTGCCGACATAATTATCAGCGATTCATTTGTTTCCAGACTCGCTAAACGATTGCCATTAATAAATATTAAATTAATGCAAACTCAGAATGACGGAACCAGTCTAGTGAATGGCGTGTCAAACGTTGCAATATTCAATATTTTGCAATATATATGTTGGATGTTCAATATGTGTTTGTTATCTTTTACATTTATTTGCGATGTTCAATATGAGTGTGCGATGTTTTTCATTATTTGCGCGATGTGCGATGTTTTACAATATATGTGCGATGTTCAATATATGCTTGCGATATGTTTTACATTTATATGCGATTTTCAATTTATATGTGCGATGTTTTTGACGATATATATGTGCGATGTTTTCAATATTAGGCCAAAAAAAAATATTCGGTCTCTGGTCAGACCAAAGATTCGGAATTGACGCGGCCACGCGGCTTTTTTTTTTTTGGCTTTTTTTTTCTTCTTCAAGCTTGGATTGTACAGACAAGGTGGGTCCTATTTTGCTTTTTTGGTGTCCTCGTGTACATTAGTGACCTCCTTAATTTGCCTTGGTGCTTTCGATCATTTGCCTTGGTGCAATTTCCCATTCCTTGGTGCTCTTTGGTAAAAAAAAAATTGAGGAGGTGCGGAAATAGAGGGCGCTGTTGGAGCTACCGCGGAACATTTTGGAAAAAAAAGATCGACGCGCATGATTAAAATCGACGCGCGCGCTGACCGACTAATTTTTTTTTTTGGCCTTATGTTCGATTTTTTGCATTAACTTTTTCAATACAATTGTGTGTGTTGTGCTACAATATATTTGCGATATTCTCAAATATGTGAGCAATGTTTCACACATATGTTTGACATTTCGAGCTATTTGTATTCGATGTTTCATCGGTATGTTTGCATTCGATCTGCATTCCCTTTTCATTCGATGTTTCTTCAAGAGTCAAAGTAAGGGATCAGACGTCAGGGGATCGCGTAAAGTGATTAGAGCCAGACCTAAACGGTAACAACCGGAATTGTGGGTAATTCTTTAAGCATAGTACGCAATGCGTTCATCATTGTTTGGGCAGTACCCCCAGCTGTGCCTGTATTACCCATAGTGTTATGTGCATCATCTATGCATTGAGGAGTGCATGACACATGGTCTGAGCTCCAAGGCCGATGTGCACCTGTCCCGTTTAATGATCCAGTTACCTGATAATTTGTTAGCATAAGCTGATGTAAAATTGGGCAAAATTAGATGTTTATGAAAAAAAAATCAAATTGTAAGGGGTTAGGCCAACAAAAAAAATATTCGGTCTCTGGTCAGACCAAAGTTCCGGAATTAACGCGGCCACGCGGCTTTTTTTTTTTTTTTTTTCCTTTTTTTTTTTTTTTCTTCAGCTTGGATTGTACAGACAAGGTGGGTACTATTTTGCTTTTTTGGTGTCCTCATGTACATTGGTGGCCTCCATAATTTGCCTTGGTGCTTTCGATCATTTGCCTTGGTGCAGTTTCCCATTCCTTGGTGCTCTTTGGTAAAAAATATTGAGGAGGTGCGGAAATAGAGGGCGCTGTTGGAGCTACCGCGGAACATTTTGGAAAAAAAAAAGATCGACGCGCATGCTTAAAATCGACGCGCGCGCTGACCAGAGACCGACTTATTTTTTTTTTGGCCTTAACCTTGCTTTTTTTTTAGCAAAATCGGGAAAAATGATGTTTCTGGAAAATTGCAGATTGTATGGGGTTAGATGTTTATGAAACATTTCAAATTGTAAGGGGTAAACATTGCATATTTTAGCGAAATTGGGCAAAATCATACGTTTCCGAAAAATTTCAGATGTAAGGGATTAAGGCCAAAAAAAGTCTCCGGTTTCTGTGCTATGCGCGCGCGTCGCCGTAGCCATGCGCGTCGGCAAAATGAAAAAGTCTTTATTTTCAATGAACGATGATGTCTCAAAACCGCCAAACCCACTGGTTTGACTGGAATCCTGCTGCTGCAAAATTTTTACGTGTTTTTAGATGGGGTTATGATCGAGAATAAGCTTTATGTGGCCTCTCTGGTCTCCCATAATATTTGCACTAAGTTTAGTCGGGCACCATTTGCAGTCATCAGCCGACATTTGAAGCAAAAAAAACAGGTAAAAAAAAACCTTGTTTTTTTTAGTGAAATTTTGCAAAGTTAGATGTTACGAAAAATTTCAAATTGAAAGGGGTTATTTAATAACCTCGCATTTTTTTTAAAGCGAAAATCGGAAAAAAATAAAATGTTTCTGGAAAATTGCAGATTGTAAGGGGTTAACCTTGCTTTTTGAATAAGATTGGGGAAAATTAGATGTTCATGAAAAAAATTCAAATTGTAAGGGGTTAACCTTGCTTTTTTTTAAAGCAAAATAGGACACAATCAGATGATTCTGGAAAATTGATTGTTAGGGCGTAATCTTGTATTTCTAGCAAAATTGGGCAAAAAGAAATGTTTATGAAAAATTATAAATTGTATACCTCGTATATTAAGTAAAATTTGGCAAAATCAGATTTGTATGAAAAATCTAAAATGGTAAGGGGTTAACCTTGCTTTTTTAGCAAAATTTGGAACATATTTTACTAAAATTGGGCAAAATCAGATATGCTTCTAAAAAAAACAGATGAAAAGTTTCCGCAAAAACAGCTGTTGAAAAAGAGCCCAATGTTGAACTTTACTGAGTCTGAGGTCTATCAAGGGGACGATCCTTATTTCAACTCCCGGAGATTCGCTGACAGTCTCTATTTTTCTTTTTAAGAAAGTCGAAATAGCTTAAGAGGGAGGTGAGAATCTATATGTGCCCAGATTCAAAGAGTAGAAACCTACGCGTCTGCCTTTTGAAAATACACAATTGCGGTGTTCATTGTTACGTAATGATCCGCCTAGCACACGACTGTTTTGCACATTAGGCTGTGTTATGCAGCTTCCTAACAAACCAAACACACTGGGCTCATTATATCGACTTGTTTTTACCCATTAAGGTAAAGCAAATGGACATAGTAATCTTCCTGGCGCGTTTGCTCACCTATAAAGACAACTTTTCTCAGTTTAAGGAAAATTCTAAGGTAACGAAATGGCCGAGTGGTTACGATTCGTCGTCCACGGTTAGCGGGGTCCCGGGTTCGAATCCCGCTGGTGTCTTTTTGGTTTTTAACTTATGAGTTCAATTATTCACTATAAGAGATTTAATTTCCCGTCGTAAAATACCAACAGTACCTTAGCTTAATCGGTAAGCACTGCTGCTGGTACTGTCCGCGAGTTCCAGGTTGGCGCCTTCGTACAGGTTCAGGGCATGTGGTCCACTCGGAGGATCAGGGCTTAGGGGCCGCCCTGTTCCTCCCTTAGCTCTTTGCTTTTACATGGTGCCTGGCCCTCCGGGGTTATATGGATGGATAGGGAAGGAAGTGTGTATTGGTCGGGGACGCCGAGACCCCGGAAGAGAACTAAGGGATCGGCTGGGGCATTGTTATGGCTCAGACCGATCCCTGAAAGCTTGACTAGCACATAACTTTTTGATTTTTTTTACCCTCTATCTTTTATACTTTGGTTTAGTTTGATATCTACAGCTGCTCGGCAGGTCTACGGGGAGTATCAAAATTGAAACAAAGGTGTATGTCATAAATCAATGAATATTTCATAATTGACTATAATCAAAACGGAGTTTCGTTTGATCAATTTGACTATCATTATATAATGACGCGATTGCCAATTGACGTAAGAAAAGCCATAAATTATACCGGGAAAGAATAAAGATGTACATTGTAATATGAATATATTTATACATCTTTCAAATATCGTGTCTTTAATTGTGAGCATTCCAAACAAAACAGTAATTAGCAAAAGTAATAGAATGGTATATGATAGCACGATCAATACGTCTCTATTAAATTTAAAAAAAATATATAATTTAGGCACCTATGTGTGAAATATTCTTTGATTGACTATGAGCATTCCATACGAATGAGTTAATTCGCAAAATATAGCAACAACAAAAGAGAAAGCAAAAAGAGAAAATTCATTTACCCTAAAAACTGGAAAAATAATTTGTTTTAAAAAAGTCAAATGGGACACTTCATGTATTGATTTAACAGTTTGCAGTTAACCTTACATTTTAGCCAAATTGGGAAAAATCAGATGTTTCTGGAAAATAGCAGCTTGTAAGGGGTTAACCTTGCATTTTTAGTAAAATTTAGATGTTTATGAAACATTTCAAATTGTAAGGGGTGAACCTTGCTTTTTTAAGCGAAAATGGGAAAAATCAGATGTTTCTGAAAAATTGAAGATTGTAAGGGGTTAACTTGGCATTTTTAGCAGAACTGGGCAATATTAGATTTATATGAAAAATCTCAAATTGTAAGGGGTGAACCTTGTATTTTTAGCGGAAACTTTACATCTGGATTTATAGAAGCATCTGATTCTGCCCAATTTTAGTAAAATATGCTCCAAATTTTGCTTAAAAAGCAAGGTTAACCCCTTACCATTTTAGATTGTTCATACAAATCTGATTTTGCCAAATTTTACTAAATATACAAGGTACACCTCTTACAGTTTAGAATTGTTCATAAACATTTCTTTTTGCCCAATTTTGCTAGAAATACAAGGCTAAGCCCTAACAATCTGCAATTTTCCAGAATCATCTGATTGTGTCCTATTTCGCTTAAAAAAAAATGCAAGGTTAACACTTTATAGTTTGAAATTTTTCATAAACATCTAACTTTGCCAAATTTCACTAAAAAAGCAAGGATAATCCCTTACATCTGAAATTTTCCAGAAACATCTGATTTTGCCCAATTTTGCTAAAATGCAAGGTTAACCCCTTACAATTTGAAATTTTCCATAAACATCTGATTTTGCCCTATTTTGCTAAAATGCAAGGTTAACCCCTTACAATTTGAAATTTTCCATAAACATCTGATTTTGCCCTATTTTGCTTAAAAAAATGCAATCTTAACCCCTTACAATTTGAAATTTTTCATAAACACCTAATTTTTACCAAATTTCACTAAAGAAAAAAGTA